ACCACATTGGGATTATCAGTAGATAGTTCCTGAAGTTCACTCTTCTTTCAAAAAAAATATGCTTTTAGAGTCAAACTATTTTATGATTAAATATTTAAGATTATACACTTCAAACAGTAGATGTATGGCCAACTAACCATGTATTTCACCCATCCTAATGGACTGAAGAGCACCTTTTCCAGAAGCAAACAGTCCTTCTGAGGGAAATAAATTGTGTCTCCTCAGCTTAGGCCTCCATGCTTAACTGAGAATGGAAATTGATCCAAAGTTACTGACAAATTATCAATAATGGCTCAGATTGGTCGAACAGGATCCTGGGTTATAATTCAAAAGGTTTTGAGATTTGGATAATCATAATGCAACTAACTATATATCACATATGCTGGGCTTCAGCTATTTTCATAAATATATTTATATTTTCCACTTTAAAGACCATTCTCTGTGCTCATGAAAATGAAAGCAAAATATGAAGTGTTGTACTGTAATAGATGTGGACCCTGAAGCCCAACTGCTTAGATTGTAATCCCAGCTCTATCATTTATGAGCTATGTAATCTGAAACAGGTTACTTAGCCTCTCTGTGCCTCTGTCTCACTTATAAAGGGGAATATATCAGTACCTACCTTACAAAGTTATGATAAAAATTAAATGAGTTAATATGTATAGAGGGTTTGTAACAGTGCCTGCCACACAATAAGCATTAAAGGGCTTAGATGTTTACTCTAATTATCAATCTTGACCACCTATTAACAGCACCCCTTGTCACCCATCCTTTCCTTGTACTTGTCTGAAAATAATAGTATAGTACAGTGGTTATTTAAGAGCTGAGCTTTGAAGTCAGAAAGACCTAGATTGAAGTCCTGGCCCCACCACTTACCAGCAATATTACCTTGGGAAGTCACTTAACCTTTATAGGTCTAAATTTCCTCACCTATAAAATGGGGATTAAAACAGTATCTACTGCATTGGGTTCTTGTGAGAATTAAATAAAATGAATGTCACACCCTTTACGTATTATTTGGCATGTAGTATACTAGTATACCTAGTGAATCTTTGTCAAAACCCCTCAACCCTTTGGAAGGCACAGTCTGAATCATACTAATCTCCTTTCTGACAGTCTTCATGATGCTTTTGGCCATATCTTTGGTTGTCTTCCTTTCTCCAATTTCGTAGCTGTTCAGTGCTTTGTAGACAGACATCTCTCAACAAGCCTCACTGTTTCCTTTCTTTTTGGACTATTTGCGGCTAATATGTCAAAATTTAAAAAATATGCTATTCTTTGTGAACCCATTAGTTTTTCGGAGCAAATAATAATGAGATTGTGCCCATATTTTTTTCTGATATATTTGCTTTATGAAATACAGAATTCATGACAAGTGTATTTTTTGTCATTACTGCAATTTTTTAAGTAATCAGTTTTCTCTCAAGAGTCTATCCCTCCCACTTGCCAATCAATGATAGAGTAAATCCAGAATAATGGTTCCCACTATGTTTACTTTTCATAAAACTAAATTATTAATAAATCAAAAATTTTATCAGATACTCTTTTAGCAGAATAAAACTTCCCACAGAGATCTAGATGATTAAAGAACATATTCTACTACAGTTTGTTTCTCTGTAAATTTTGTAATTTCTATAGAAACCATCATCATACTGAGATTCTTTCATATTTCACCATCAAAACATCACTTTTGTTCTTTTTTTCATAGCTTTTCCATGTTCTTCTCCAGCATGGTGGTTTCTACACACACACTCTCTCTCTCTCTCTCTCTCTCACACACACACACACACACACACACACACACACACACACACCTCATTCGCCCCTTCCAGCATTCCCTATTAGGTGTTTCTTTTCAACAAAGTATACCCTATAATGGCCAGAGTTCTTTTCTGAATACCATCTCCACCACCTCTTATTAATAGATAGTTTTGTTAAAATATTGTTTTTTATACTATGTATACTGCAATGGTATACAAAATAATTTATATACAATGTATTGTTCCTAAATGCTTTCTTTCTACCTATGTTTTCCTTCTAAATTATCTATTTTTAAAAATTTATCTGGGTTTCTCTTCTTTACTGATAGATTTAATGAACCTCCAGACAAACAGCAATAAAAGTTACTCCCCAGGAAACCCAACCTTGCTCTGACCCTTCAAATGTTAACACTGTATCTGTTCTTATCTTCCAAACTTATAAGTATCAAAGGGAGATGTGAAAAGATATGAACTGCATCCACTCTTCAACTTCAAAACCCCTAGAATTCTTCTAAATATTTCTGTTAACATATACAAGAAAAGTTATTTTGACTAGGCTGCAAACCTTAGATAGCAAGGATCATGTATGTTTTACTCACTAAGGCCCAGTGTCTAGACCAGTGATAGCGAACCTTTTGAGCTCGGCGTGTCAGCATTTTGAAAAACGCTAACTTAACTCTGGTGCCCTGTCACATATAGAAATTTTTTGATATTTGTAACCATAGTAAAACAAAGATTTATATTTTTGATATTTATTTTATATATTTAAACTAGAGGCCCGGTGCACAAAAATCTGTGCACTCGGGGTGGGGAGAGGAGGTCCCTCAGCCGGGCCTGTGCCCTCTCGCAGTCTGGGACCCCTCGGGAGATAACGACCTGCTGGCTTAGGCCTGCTCCTGGGTGGCAGAGGGCAGGCCTAATCCCTAGGTGCAGCCCCTGGTCGGGCTCAGAGCAGGGCCGATTGGGGGGTTGGGGCACCGCCCCCTGTCACACTCAAGGCAGGGTCCATAGGGAGGTTGCGGCGCCAACCCCTGTCATGCACAGAGCAGGGCCCATCAGGGGGGTTGGGGCTCCGTACCCTGTCACACACAGAGCAGGGCCCATCAGGAGGTTGGGGAGCTCCCCCCCGTCACACACAGAGCAGGGCCGATCAGAGGGTTGGGGCTCCGCACCCTGTCACACCCAGAGCCCGCAGGGCGATCAGGGGTTTGGTCGCTGCCCCCGTCACACTGACCCTGGTGCTGGGAGGCCTTGAGGCTCTGCTGATCCCGGCCGGGAGGCCTCGAGGCTCTGCTGATCCCAGGGCTGGGAGGCCTCTCGGCTCCGCTGATCCCAGGGCTGGGAGGCCTCTCGGCTCCACTGATCCCAGGGCTGGGAGGCCTCTCGGCTCCACTGATCCCAGGGCTGGGAGGCCTCTCGGCTCCACTGATCCCAGGGCTGGGAGGCCTCTCGGCTCCGCTGATCCCTGGCCGGGAGGCCTCGAGGCTCCGCTGATCCCAGGGCTGGGAGGCCTCTCGGCTCCGCTGATCCCTGGCCGGGAGGCCTTGAGGCTCCGCTGATCCCAGGGCTGGGAGGCCTCTCGGCTTCACTGATCCCAGGGCTGGGAGGCCTCTTGGCTCTGCTGATCCCTGGCCGGGAGGCCTCGCAGCTCCACTGATAACCGGGGCTGGGAGGCCTCGCAGCTCTGCTGATCATGGGGCTGGTTCGCCTCTCGGCTCCGCTGATCCGGGGGCCGGGAGGCCTCTCCGCTCCGCTGATCCCACGGCCGGCCAGGAGGCCTCTCGGCCGCTGATCGCGGGGCGGGAGGCCTGTCGGCTCCGCTGATCCCGGGGCCCTGAGGCCTCTCTGCCCTGTGCTTCAGGGCTATTTGGCTTCGCTCTGCTTGGAGCCTGAGTATACAAATTAACTGCCATCTTTTAGCTTCTATAATTAAAACATTGTATCTTTTGGAGTTGTTGCTTCAGGAGCTCAGAGCCCCGCAGCTGCAGACGGGGAACCTTGGCTTCCTCCATCGCTGGGGCAACCAAGCCTCCTGTTCTCAGCTGCCTGGCTGCCAGCCGCCATCTTGGCTGTCAGTTAATTTGCATATCTCGCTGATTAGCCAATGGGAAGGGTAGCGGTCCTACGCCAATTATCATGTTTCTCTTTTATTAGTGTAGATGCCATTTAACAAAGAAAAATCAACCAAAAAAATGAGTTCGTGTGTCACCTCTGACACACGTGTCATAGGTTCGCCATCACTGGTCTAGACCTTAGTACATAGGGGTTGCATACTTGGCCCATGGGCCAAATCCTGCCCATAGCCTATTTCTGAACTGCTCACAGAGCTAAAAGTGGTTTTTACATTTTTAAAGGTTGTTTTAAAAAAGAAGAACATGTGAGAGATCATACATGCCCTATATTTTCCCACCTGGCCCTTCTTAGAAAATGTTTGCTGACCTCTAGTATTAGATACTGAAATATTTATTAAAAGAGGAGGTGGCGAGTGGGGGAGCTCTAGTAATGGAGAAGGATAAACAGAGATTTACAGCAAGTAGAACTGGAAAGCATCGCAAATAGTAAAACTCACATAATAAAAACTGTACAGGCCTTAAATTGTTCTTTGACTTCAGTTTTCACTGCATTTTAAGAAAAACTAAAAATCTTTCATTCTCATTTTTTAAACTGTCTGCCCCGTATCTGTCCGTTACGATTTCACTCAATTCGTCCCGGTCATCAAAAGGCAGTATATTCTAGGGAGGTATGGTGACAATTAGAGCATTACTTAGCCCAATTTGTGTATCAACCTCCCAATGATTCGCATATTTCAGAGATCACATATTTTTTTTGTAACTAATCTGTTCTTGAGTCACAGTTACTCTTAGGAAAACTAAATTTAAAACTTGGTAGTCTACCTTTTCTTCAACTAGCCTAATTAACATAAATGTTAGTCATTAGCAAGGTGTCAGCCACTATAAGGTGTCAATTCACGGGTACACCCTCATACATATAGTCTTTCCTTCCACACAGTACTAAGTAGCTAAGCACTAACACTTCCCGACATTTTTACTCATCTGCTCCCATGTGACCTGTTACTTCAAAATTTAATCACACAGAATGCTCCACAAGCCCTGAAATAAAGCTTTGAATACTGAAGATTGTTTAACCAAATCATGAAAGTTCCATTCTTCAAGTAAAATGAAAGAGCAATGTTAGACCTATTCATACCAATTGCTGTTATAAACACATGCAACAGTGTACCTGAAAATGCTGTTCCATCACTTGGATTTTTCCCTGGTCTGGGCACTTTTTCAGAGCTCTATCTGTATAATGGAATAGGATTTCTACCATCTGTAAGGAAAATAGGCTTGTATAGAAGTTAAAACATATCTCTCAAGTTTTTCAATACTTAATATATTCGATCCCCTTAAATAATACAGAATCAGATTTTGCTATTATATTAAAAATAAATGTAAAATTTTAGTGGCTTTATTTTCCAATTTCCTAAACTCTACCTAAATTCTTTCAGTCTCAGGGCTAGTACTAATTGCTAATCTTTTCTAAAACTATCTCCAGGTTCTAGATTTTAGTAGTATCTATGTTGCTCAGGAGACGAAATACTGAAGTTAAGCTCTTCAGTAATCCTCTGCTGTAAATCTTTCCCTAAAGAACACAGATAGAACATAGAACCCTAAATATTTTGGCAGATACTGAGAAAAATCATGAGTCTAAAGATGATCACTTTTATTTTCTAAATGTTTATACTAATTTGGAATGTAATTTTTACCAATGCACTTGCACTATTAAAAAGGGAAAGAAATTAGTACAGTAAATGAATTCAACCAAGTCTAGACTAGGAAACAAAGGCAATAGTAAATATTAGCATTAATCAATTATTAATGCTAATTAGTAATAATAAATCATCAGCCCTTTGTATTACCTCAAGTAACATACACACTTGCATTTATACTATTTTTCATAATTACTAATCAGTTTATAACATATAACAAATGTCAACTTTCTATGGGCTATTAGGTTCAGAAATAATCCAGATTCCAGGCTTCTTCCTAAAATAACCAAAAGACTATTTACTACTTTATCATTTTCATAAGAGAGTGAGCAAGAAAAAAAAGAAAAGATGATAAAAAAATTTTTTAAAACATTCAAGGTAATACCAGGGAACTATAATCTGATTTTTTTTTTATACACAGACACCTTGACTGTAGCCATTTACCTAATCATGCCCAAAGATTACTAGCAAATACCCAAAGCAAATTTGTGCTGTACCCCAGTAAAGACCCTATTAAAATACTTACTCGATCTGCAACAACAGCCTTTCGCTTACTGGCATCCCCTGATAATCCTGCAGAGAAGCAAATTCCAAATGAAAACAAATTTAAACCAGATCTTTAGTAGTGAAACTGTTCTGGTCATAATCTGTGCTAACAATACATATCCATACAACAATCCTTAGATATCAAAACTTTGGATAATATGCTATAATAAGAACATATCATATCTAATGAATCAGATAGCCTATCAATGTACTTCCCTTTTATTCTAATATTAAGTGACATTTAAAATTATATATCCTATATTGGTTATTAACCTTTTTCACTGAAATCTGTAAGTTCTGGTAACATCTATATATATAAAAGCCTAAGTAACCATCTGACTATTCGACCGGTAGCTATGACGCACACTGACCACCAGGCGGCACACACTCAATGCATAGGCATGGAAACATGGAACACACTGATGAATCTCAGAGGGAAGGTGGGAAGAGGGAGGGCGGGAAGAAATTAACTAAAGATCTTATATGCATACTAGAGGCCCAGTGCATGGATTCATGCACCAGTGGGGTCCTCCGGCCTGGCCTGTAAGGATCAGGATGAAACCAGCAGCCCGGCATCCCCTGAGGGGTCCCAGACTGTGAGAGGGTGCACTGGGCCTCTAGTCTTGCTTATAAAATACTTAAACATTAAGCTAAAAAAGTGTTCTATGAGTGATTAGTATTATTCATTCTCTCTATTTCAGAAAAAAGTCTACACCACCGGTTTTCTGTTAACTTACCCACAACTGCTTTTGCTTTTCCCTCATGGAAAGACCATGCAAGAGCCAAGGCTTCTGTAAGACAATCTTGTTTCAGGAGGTGATCCACCCTCTAAAATAAATAAATGCAAGAAGCTAGACCCCTTTGTCTGACCAATCACAAGTCAGAATTCCTATTTACCCAATATCTTTCCAGAAGTTGTTGCTTAGTAGCTGCAAGTATTCTAATAACCACATGAATATCTAAGTTCCAAGAAAAATAATTTCTTAAAGCACTAGATAGTACAGTGACTATATAAGATAGTACTAGGCAGCCACAAGGCCCAAATATAAAAAGAGAAAACAACTAGAATGTCACTGTAACAGAAACGTCTAGTTGCTTATCACAACATCCTTTCACTCCCTCATCCTCAGTAACAAATCCCAAGTTTATTTGAGACAGCAATAAACCAGCTAAAGGACATCTCTAAGACTCCCTTGTTGTTACTTGGGACCATGTGACTAAGTTCTAGCCAATGATAAGTGGAAGTGTTGTTTGGTATTTCTGGGATATCACCTTAAAAGGGAGGGGCTAGCCTTTCTCTTCTCTTTCCTCCTTTCTCGAATGTGGACTTAACAGCTGGAGCTCCAGCAGCCCTATTGAGACATAAATGACCCTGGGACTAGACACCACAACAAGGATGTGGAACAGGATAGCACACTAAAGACCATGGAGCTGCCACACTAGCCACAGCTGGCCTACTGCCAGATGGCTTTTACATGAGAGAAAGCTTGAAGCCACTGTTGAAACTTGAAGCAACAGGCCACTATTATTTTGACTTTTCTGATGTATGTAGCCAAACCTAATTCTAATTTACAGTGAGTTTTATCAAATCAAGTACCTAACAGTTACAATGGTTTTGATGTACATTTTTGAAATTAAAAAGCACTAATCCAAATAATCTTTTTTGGCAAAGTCAAAACAAACATTAAGATGCTATCAGTTCAACAATTCTAACACATAAAATTACTTTGAACTCACCTCTCTCCAGCTCCTCAGCATCATTACATAAACAGACTAGAAAACAAAGAGAAGGAAATTAAAATGACCATCTTTAACAAACTTGGTTGGGAGACACATTTGTCCCTGCCCCACATCTCATTTTGCATCTCTTTAAGTAAAACCATTCATAATACAGTTGAAGTGTTTACTAAAGGGTCTTCAAGGTCCCACATTAAAGGGTAAATCAAACAAACATTTAAAAGTTAGTAAGTCTACAGTCTAGGGCAGTGGTTCTCAACCTTCCTAATGCCGCGACCCTTTAATACAGTTCCTCATGTTGTGGTGACCCCCAATTTCATTGTTACAAATTGAACATAATTAAAGCATAGTGATTAATCACAAAAACAATATGTAATTCTATATGTGTTTTCCGATGGTCTTAGGCGACCCCTGTGAAAGGGTCAGTCGATCCCCAAAGGGGGCGCGACCCACAGGTTGAGAACCACTGGTCTAGGGAGTTAATACCCAGGAACAAGGAACGCTCAATCTCCCTGTACAGACCTGAAAATTTTCAATAATGAAAAAATATTTCTTCTCCGTGTTGTTTTTTCTGGTTTGTTTGTGGGATTTTTTGTTGTTTTCTTAGCACAGGAACAAAATGATATACAAAAAGTTCCTATTCCAGTGATTCTACTCTAAGTCAAATGCTTCAATGCATTTCAATATGTCCTAAGCTAACCTAATAAAGGGCAGCTTAATTACATGACAAATATACATAATAAGGTATCTTCATGGTCATGAAAACATAAATTTGAAAAATATAAAAATACATCCCTGAATAAAGAAAATAAGTGTCCTATTAGAATCTAAACGAAAGTAAAAGTATGCCCCGAAGTGGAGAAGGTAAATTAATCAGCTAAAATTCATGACTATCTAATCCCTAAAAGTTGTAGATTACTGCTAATCGATATTCATTTTGTAACACACTGCCCTCTTCACCAGCAACCTGCTTAAGCTTCAACTATCCTGACACAAACAAATGCCAAGTGGAAGAGCTTACTTTGGTCCCCAAATAAAAGATCTGACCACCATAGCTACTGATGGATTGATAACAAGCCTTCTCTCCAACCAAAGCCTGTAAAAAAGTAAACAAAAAAGGTAAAGATTGCATGAATTAGAAGTCTCATTAAGTTTTAAAGAATGTCCATTATAAAGACAATATTTTAGTCTAACCTGGTTTACCCCATAATTAGGGGAGCATGGATATCAATCATGGGCCAGTCCATCAGTGGAAGGAGCAAAAAAGACAAAGTGCAAGAAAGTAATTCTCTGCTTACACATGGGGTTTATTTTTCAGAATAATGCAGAAAGGGAGGAACATGCAAACTTGTAAATCTAAAGGAAAACTGTTGCAACCTGCCCCATTATTGGATAACAACAGTCACTGCTTCTGGCAAAGAATAGAGCTGATTGAAAATGGTAGCCCCAAGTTCTTTGAAATAAATATAAATATTAAACACAAGAAGAAACAAGAAGACAAAGTAGCATAGTATATAGGAGTCAGCACAGCCCAGCAAAACAGAAACAAAACCTGCTGTTTGATTAAGTCAGGATTGCAAACTTTGGCAATGTCACTTTGTAGGTATGACCTTAAATAAGTTTCAAACTTCCAACATTGAGTTTTCACATCTTTGAAAACCATGCACAGTTTCTTTGAGGCTTAAATATGTTAACATTTATAAATATCCCAAAATATATAAGCAGTCAATAACAGAAGAGCTTACTTTGGTCCCCAAATAAAAGATCTATGATAATTAATCTTAACTTTTCACTGTGAAAATTTCAAAATATAGATGAACATAGAATAAAATAATGAATCCCCTGCAACCATTAACCAGCTTCATTAATTGTCAACTCATCACCAATCTTATCTCATCTATAATCCCACTGACTCCACTGTAACACAGTATAATTTTGAAGTGAATTTCAGATTTTGAATATTTCATTTATAAAAATTCAGTATATATATATATGTACATATATATATATACATATTCAATCCTTTTTAATATAACCACAATTACATTAACATGCTTTTAAAATTTAATAATCATTCCTCAATATCAATTACCCAATCAGAGTTTGGATTTCAGCTTGTCTCATAAATGTCAAATGCTGAGTATATTTTTGTTGTTTGGGCTTTTTTTTTTTTTTTCTACATTTAATTGTCTGAATCAAGAAACAGACAAGGGCCACATATTGGAGCTGGCTGATAGTATTTTTTAATGTATAGTTTTTGCCTCCACCTCTGACCATCCCTTATTTTCCTTTAGGTTTATTTATTAAAGAAGCTGTAACACTATTCCATAAAGTTTCCTCCACCTGATTTTGCTAATTGTGTCAAGGAATCTTTTACCATGTTCCTCTGTCTTCTATATTTTGTCTAGAAGAGGTTTGATCAGAATCAGGGACTTTGATTTTGGTTTGTTTTTTGGCAGTAATATTTAAGTAGGATTTTGGATGATGTTCTTGATTATCAGGTTGAAGTTTCCTTCTATTTCTAGTTTGCTAAGAATTTATCAAGACTAAATGTTAAATTTTCCTGTCTTTTGAGAAGATGATATGGTTTTTCTTTTACCATTAACGAAGTCAAATGCCTCAATGCATTTTAATATGTCCTAAGCTAATCTAATAAAGGACAGCTTAAATACACAACAAACATATTTGGTTACATGGTTGCCTCCTATACACCACCCTCACCCAGGATCAAATCTGAAACCTACCTATGTGCCCTGAGCGGGAATTGAACCTGTGACCTTCAGCTGTATGGGAGGAAGCTCCAACCAACTGAGCCACACCAGCCAGGGCTACATTGAATTTTAAATGTTAAACCAGTCTTGAATGCCTTGGATAAACACCATTTGATCATGATTACTCTTTTTATACACTGCTGGCTTCTATTTGCTAATATATTATGGATTTTTGCTTCTATACTTATAAGGACATTGGTCTGTTGTATTCTTTATTATAATGTCTTTGACTCATTTTATTATCAGAGATAATAAGCAAATTTCATTTTTAAAAAAGTATGTGCTCCCATTTACTCTATTTTTGAAAAGATTTCTGTGTAAAATTGGTGGTTTGGTTTTTTTTTTTCCTAAAATATGATAGACTTCACTAGTGAAGTCAACTGGGCCTAGAGTTTTTTTGCAGAAAATGTATTTATTTACTAGATTTTTCATTTCTTCTTGAGTCAGCTTTAGTAATTTGTGCCTTGCAAAGAATTTTTTTCCATTTCATCTAAAATTCTTGAATTTATTGGCATAAAGTTACTCATATTGTTTATTTTTATTTTTATTGATTTCAGAGAGGAAGGGAGAGGGGGAGAGAGAGAGAGAAACATCAATGGTGAGAGAGAATCATTGATCCACTGTCGCCTGCATTCCCCACACTGAGAATCAAGCCACAACCTGGGCATGTGCCCTCACTGGGAATTGAACTGTGACCTCCTGGTTCACAGGTCAATGCTCAACCACTGAGCCACTCCGGTTGGGCATATTCTCTTTTTAATACCTATAGACTCTACAGTGACGTTACCACCCTCACTCCTGATATTAGTAATTGTGCCCTCCCCCTTTTTTCCTTGATTAGTCTCACTAGAGGTTTGTCAATTTTATTTATCTTTCAAAGAACCAGCTTTTGGTTTCTTTAATTTCCTATCATTTGTCCATTTTCCATTTAATTGATTTGTGTTCATCTTTATTATTTCTTCTTTCAATCTACTTTAAGTATATTGTGTGTTTTTTTATTTCCTTAATTAAGATAGAAGCTTAGATCACTTATTTCAGATTTTTTCTTCTTTTCTAATGTAAGTACTTAATGCTATGAATTACCCTCAAAAACTGATTTAATTGTGGATCACAGATTTTTATATGTTGTATTTTCATTTAGTTCAAAATATATTCTAATTTCCTTTGAGATTTTTTTCTTTGTCTCATGGTTTATTTATAAAAGTGTTATTTAATCTCCAAATATTTGAATTATCTCCAAAGTGAACCTGATGATTCCTTCAACAATTGGCTGAAGCTTGTTTTATGGCCTATCATATAATCTATATCAGTGGATGTTCCATATGCACTTGAAAAATAATTGTACTTTGCTTCTGTTGGGTGCAATATTCTATAACTGTCAGGTCAAGGTGATCAACAGTGTTCTTTTTAGTCTTCTATACCCTTAATGTGTTTCTGCCTACTCATTTTATTACTTACTGAGAGAGTTTAAAATTTCCAAACTTTAATTGTGAAGTTGTCTTTTTCTCATTTCAATTTTGTTCATTTTTGCTTCATATCCAGTGTATTTTTCATTTCAAGCACTTTAGTTTTATCTCTAGATTTACATCTTTTAAAATCTTCCATGTCTCTACTTAATTTTTTGGACATACAGACTATACCTATGATAACTGTTATGTCCTTGTCTGCTAATTCTAATATCTGTTTCGGGTTTAAGTCAGTTTTGATAGATTTTTCTCCTCAGTATAAGTTGTGTTTTACTTTTTCTTTGCATGCCTAGTAATCCCTGATTCGATGGCAGACACTGCAAATTTCAAATTTCAGCATGTTGGGTCCTGGAAATTTCTGTATTCTTATTGATATTATTGTGCTTTACTCTGGGAGGAGTTAAGTTCCCTGCAAACAGTTTGTTCCTTTCTGGTCTTGTTTTTAAGATATGTTAGTGGGGATGAGAGCAGCATTTACTTTAGTTCTAACTATTCCCCACTACTGAGGCAAGATGTCTGAGTACTCTGCCCAATGCATGTGAATCATATGGTTTTCCATCTGGCTGGTGTAAACAAGCCAGTGTGATCACTAGCTCTTGTTCCTTCCAAATCTTACAAATATTTCTTTCCCTTGCCTTGGGCAGTTTCTATTGATTAGTAGCCTGCTGAATACCCAAGGGGACCCTTTGTATAGTGCTCTTCACACCAGTACTCTGGCCTGTCCTACCCACACTTGTCTTCCTGCAGCCTCAGTCTCCGCTCTGTCTCACTCATGGAGTACTCCAAGCTCCCACTGGGTTCCTCCCCCTGAGCCACATGGAAACTCTCAAGGACAGACATTGGGATACCCATAGGGCTCATGCCATTTGTTTCCTATTTTGTCCGGAATTGCTGTGCTTCATTACATGATATCCAGTATCTTGGAAACTGTTGTTTCTTTTTCTGATTTTTCCCCCCAGACAGGAGAGTAAATCCAGGCCCCATTATTCTATCTTAGCTGAAAGTATAAGCTTAAAGTCTGACTTAAAAAAATACTTGAAAGTATTTTTAATAACCAGACACCAGAAAACATCTAAGTGTGAGACAGTAATTATTCTTACTTTAGAAAATTCTATTGTTTTATCATTATTCTTACCCTGGATTTTCTTGGTTTCTAAATTCTAAGGCTGGACGACCCTTTCATGTATATTTTATGCTCTGAGGTTCTAATATCTCAGAGAGATTTGGGCAATGGCTACATTTCATGCAGCAGATACTCATTAAATATGACCATTATTACTATTTTCTTCAAGAAAATACCCAGGAAGCCTCATAATAGTCTAACTTCCTGCTTAAAGATTACTGGTTTAGGAAACATGAGATCACAATTCAAAGTAATTTAACTGTAAACTATCTGTGTGAATTGCTAAAGGCCATTATTACAGTTACTTAAAATATGGTAAAACTAGAGGTCTGGTGCACAAAATTCCGGTGGTGTCCCTCAGCCCGGCCTGCACCCTCTCCAATCTGGACCCCTCAGGGGATGTCCAACTGTGGGACTGGGCCTAAACCGGCAGTCGGACATCCCTCTCACAATCCTGGACCTCTGACCACTAACCGCTTACCTGCCTGCCTGCCTGATTGCCCCTAACTGCTTCTTCCTTCCAGCCTGATCACACCCTAACTGCTCCCCTGCTGGCCTTATTGATGCCTAACTGCTCCCCTGCCTGCCTGATCACCCACAACTGCCCTCCCCTGCCGTGACCAACCTCCTCCACCCGGACACACCTCCTCCGTTCAAGGCAGCGGAGACGCCAGACGCCGGGACTGGCTCCTCCACGCTGCACGGAGCCACAGGACCCCCAGGCCTCACCGCGCAGAGCAGCTGCTGGGCCCCACCTCCGCTGTGCGTGCAGCCATCTTGTGATGGCCATCTTGTGACAACATGAGGGCGTGACACCACCTAAGCTATTATTAGTATAGATTAATACTAAGATCATAATTTTCATGTCTTCCTTCTCTCCAAGCACACCATTTCATCTATCTCCTACTCTGGAAGAATCTTTTTTCGTTCTCTCAAAGCCTAGCTTTGCCTTTTAATTCCCACAAACACTATACCTGTTCATTCCTTTACTAATCACCCAAATATTTCCAAAGCCTCATGGGCTACCTGTCACTAGTCATTTACCCCTTAAACCTATCGTACTTATTGCTGCCATATTAAACTTTCTAAAATATTTTGCTTTTATAACTCCTATCTCATAAATTTCCAACTTCATTTTATTATTTTAGCATAAAAGTTAAAACTCTTGGCCATTAAATTAGTCAGATTTCTGAATAGAAGGTAAGAGAAATTATTGTTTTAGTTCACATTCCTGAATATTTACAAACACACCCACATCCACTTCAACCTAGTGGCTTTTAAAGAAACACCTCAAAACATAAAGATAACTCCTCAGAGTTTCTATTTCTAGAACAAAACAGCAACAAAGCACCATGTTTATCAAGTCAGTACTAAGGTAATGGGTTACCCTTACCAGTGCCTGGCTAACATTTCCTCCAGTGGCTAGTGATTTGAAATGGCTGCTATTATAGACCAACTGAACTTCTGAGATTTCCACTGTTTCCAATTCCTCTTGAGTTTGCCGATCAATCACATGCAACTTCTCTGCACTATCCAAGAGTACAACTGTGCGTGAGTTCATCCACTGCAATTCAAGCACACAACAAAACAAAAATGAGGCCCATCCCACGCCATCATTCAGGACAAGAAGAAAGCTTGGCCACTCAGTTAAATGACCCTGAGGACTTTATCCATTTAATAACTTCATGACAACACAATCACAGCAAGAACTACTGAGTAAACAGCCCAGAGAACAATAGGAACACAACACAATATTGAGTTTGACAGTGCTACAATGACACTCTCGTAGTCCAAAAGAAGGCTAACAAAAATCTTTAATAGATATATGTTATATGATATATTGGCTTTCATAAAATTTTTGCTTAAGTCACCAATGACTTAAGCAAAGTGACAAACTTTGTATTTCAGTGTTACATCAATGAAACAAAAGGGCAAATTAAATCTCATAAACCTAGGTGGTCAAAGGATAATTGTTGAAATATATTTGTAACACATAGTTCAAAACAGAAGTTATTTAAAATATATATTTCCTTCAAAACCTCCCTAAAATTATTAGGAGAGTTTTTGCTGTATTTTTCTATGTCTTCTATCCTATCTAATAATAGACAAACATGGTAATTGACCGTACCTTCGCTACACCTCCCATTGGCTAATCAGTGTGATATGCAAATCAACCGCCAACAAAGATGGCGGCTAATTTGCATACTGCAGGCAGGGCAGGACAGCGCCATCCCACCTGCCCTGCTGCCATCCGGGCCTGCTATCTGCAACCGGGGTGGCAGGCATCCGTGTGCGACCCGACCTGGGGCAGCCGGGTGGTGTAGCAGCGATCGGCCAGCCCGCCCGGCCTCCATCCAGGCATCCCATGTGCGACCCAACCCGGGGCGGCTGAGCGGGGCAGCAGTGATCAGCCGGCCCGCCCAGGCGTCCCATGTGCGACACGCCCAGGGCGTCCTGTGTGCGACCCAACCTGGGGCGGTGCCCCAACCCCTGGATCGGCCCTGCCATGTGCATGACCCGGGAGGCGGGGCAGGCACCGAGGGATCGGGCCTGCCATCTGCCACCCGGGGAGCGGGCCTAAGCCAGCAGGTGGTTATCTCCCGAGGGGTCCCAGACTGTGATAGGGCACAAGTGGGGCTGAGGGGCACCCCCCAAACCCACCCCCCCACCAGTGCACAAATTTTTGTGCACCGGGCCTCTAGTATCTATTATAATTTTTTAAATAATAACTAAATAATAATGTTAAAAATCTTCTGAAGGATGCCATTATGATAAATTTCTTGGGTTATGTATGAGATTTATTTTCAAAATATATTTTTAAAAATCTTAATCCTTCCCAAGGAATAAAGTTTTTAAATCTGCTCAATTAGAATTCTAAATTAGAGGGAACAAAATAATTCCCCTGCACATTATCTCTCTGGCATTCATGTTGATTTATTTATATGGTCTATCCCAGGTTATCAAAGTTTATTTGCATACCATATCAGTGACAACCAAGTTGAAAATGGATCAATTTTCTCTTAACATATGCTGAAGATATGCTCTACCACTGTATAGTAGCTACTATAAAGGAAGGGTTTGTTTTTCTGTGTGTTTGTTTGTTTCCCACTCCCAAAAAAATATCTCTCAGAAAACAGAGTTTGATACTCAAATCTTTTACAAAGAGCTCCTATAAGGTGCTCTTTTGATCACTTTACTTTGAAAAACAAAGTATCATTAAGGGAAAAAAGATACATTTTTTTAAAAATATATTTTATTGATTTTTTACAGAGAGGAAGGGAGAGAGATAGAGAGTCAGAAACATCGATGAGAGAGAAACATCGACCAGCCGCCTCCTGCACATCCCCCACCGGGGATGCGCCCGCAACCCAGGCACATGCCCTTGACCGGAATCGAACCCGGGACCCTTCAGTCTGCAGGCCGACGCTCTATCCACTGAGCCAAACCGGTTTTGGCAAGATACATTTTTTTATTAGCCTTACTGAATATCAGTCAGTAATAGTTTTTAAATGCTTTAAAACAGAGAGAGAATGACAGAGAGAAAAAAAAGTTTGCAGTTTAGCAATTATTCCTGAAGTTAGAATCTCATAATTGTGAGTGTTGACATTGTTGTAAACAAGCCTTTTAAAGGTAATTTACAGAGCAATGCAGTTAGTGGTCACATCATGGATAAGCCACAGGACAAATAAAAATACTCGCTGTGAAATTGTCAGGAGCATGGCTACTTGTGGTTGGAAAAAAATTTTCCAGGGGAAGAATCATATGCTGATTTTAAAAGTGCTGTATCTCAAACATCTTAAACAGAAGTGATGATGAATTCTAGAAAACTGTGTCCAATGATTCAACAAGTGGTTCTAATGTTGACAAAGTCACTGATGTCTTATATACATGAGAAGAGATTGAACAAAATTATTTCGTGAAATGTTTATAAGAAAAAGCATTATTTCTAAATCAATGATCTATGTGTGAGATTAAATAATCTCAATAATCTTTATAATTCAATTTATAAACTGAACTTACAAATCTTATATAATAAATATTTATTTTATCCATAATCCTAAAATTTTTCATTTTATCAAATTGGGGGTAAAACTTTTTTTAGCCTTATATTGGAAAAATGAGGCACAGTCTTATATTTAGGGTTGCCTATATTCATATATCTACAGAGTATTTCACCAGATACCAGATAGTGATATGCTAAGAGCACTAATGATAGAAACCCAGAAATATTATAACTGCACTATTACAGAATTAACACACTATTTAAAAATTTAAAAATTGACACAAAAAGAAATATTCTTTTTTTTACACCAAAAGTCACTTCGGACTGAGATGTGTGATAGAGAGAGACCTCTGCAAACTTTTTAGCCACTAGAAAAGAAAAGCGTAGATAAGCTCCTGAACCAATTAGGACAAACTCAGAAGGATAAAAATATGTTTACAAAGAAAGTCCAGCAATAATCCTGAAGAAATCCATCTAAATTCTTCTAAACTCCCCTTTAAACTAATTAGGACATTAAAGAAAATTTTTGTTCAGCAAGACATAGGCTGAAAGACAAGAAAAATAATGTGACATCATATCAAACTCAGATTTTATTCAATATAAGCCAGACTTCACTTCTGTCCATATTTCATATAATCCTAAAGGCATGGTTCATGGCAGAAATCCTGATAGCTTTAACACACCATGATCTCAAAACAATTATATGCAATAAATGGGGATAGTTCATTTGAATACTCACAGTAAAGTTGATGAGGTCATAGTAGAGGTGAAGATGCTTTTGCTTAGTAACATGGATTGCTCCAGATTCATCTCTCTTAACCTGATGATGAAATAAAAACAACCAAAACCTCAGCTATTGTTTGAGGGATATTTTTAGATACTTCATTATACTCCACTTCAAAATTATTTCCATTCAGAGTATGGATAAGTCAAAAATATTGATAATTAAAGAAACTATCACATAAATGACAGAAATAATCACACCATGATTTGTACCAAAATCCAAGGCATATCTGGTCAGTGGTTCAGCTGTCAGTATTAGCAAATTCAGTAATGTAATATCCACTTTGTCATAATTCAGAACAACTTAATCTCACTACACCAATGACTGTATTTAGCTAGAGTTAAGACATAAAATCGGATGGTGACATGTTGTGAAAAAGTCAAAACAAAAGTTCATTAAAAGAAAAAAGCTGCTGCAGTGACAAAACTAGACTTTTCTGACATATAATACTATTATTGCACAAACAACCCAAAGTTTCCCCAAAGAACTTCAGTGTCAATCTTTTATTTATATACTAGAGGCCTGGGGCACAAAAATTTGTGCACTCCTCAGGGGTCCTTCAGCCCAGCCTGTGCCCTCTCACAGTCCGGGAGCCCTCAGGGGATGTCCGATCTGATGACTTAGGCCCACTCCCTCTCCTGTTGCTTTATCTTCTTCCTTTCCCTTGTGTGAATATCCACTAAGGTTATGTATGCTCTAGCTTTTTATTATTTTCACAGTTTCAACTACCTTCTCTATCCCTGAATTCTCACTTGTACCCCAGACCTGGATTGCCATCTGCCTGGAAGACATTCTCCAATACAACACTTGAGAGTTCCACCTTCATTACCAACTCTGCACACTCAAACCTTCCCTAACCTTAACTCTTTAAATATTTCAAGCTTTTAAAATGTAAACTCAAAAATGAAATGTTTGGTTCATATCCTTCAGTCCTAGAACCAATAATATCAGAAGCCTTGTCTTTCCTTCAAAATATCATCCCTACCTCTCACTACAACTGACCATCCTTGTCCAAAGACCTCATTACAGGAGCTTTATTACAGGAGCCAAACCTTCCATTTCCCTCCTACAATCTTTTCTTTTTGATATTTCCATACTGATCTTCTTAAAATATCACTTTAACCACATCTTTATCATTTTAATTACCTAAGAACCCATGATGGCTCCCCATTACCAATCTAGGTCAAGTATACACAAACCAGATCAGGAGTTAGCAAACTTTTCTATAAAAGGCCACACAGTAAATATTTTGGGATCTGCAGACCATATGGTCTGTGTCACAGTTACTCAACTTTGCCACTATAGTGCAAAAGCAGCCGCAAATAAGACATAACTGAATGGGCATGACTGTAATAAAACTTTACCCCTAATCTAGATCCATGCCATATACTCAACTTTATTTTCCACAATATGTTTCTCCCCGTCATTAATTCTATAAACATTTACTAAACATCTATATACAAGCACTATCCTAGTGGCTGAAATATAGTTATAGAGTTGGTCTTTAGATTGATGGAGCTTTCAGTCAAGTGAGGAAGAAAAATACTAGACAAGCTATTTTATAAGTACTGAATGTTATAAAAATTACATTCTTACCTCTATAACTTCAGTTCATCTTATTATGCATATCCACCCCACGCCCCATAGTATTTGCAATATATCCTTCATAAAGTCTTCCCTGGCCTCTCTAGTCCATACAAATCTCTTCATACTCTAAAGGTATCAACTTTTAATTCTCACCACATGGTTGAATCCTTAAACCATTCTCCATAGTAGTAATGAGCATACTGATGTGGCTTTTCAAACAATAGTTTAAGCTATGTGGAAGAAGAATTTATACTTCCCTCAATTGCTTCTTGTGTTCATCACAGTGTAGAGAACATAGCAGATATTCAATAATACTTGCTGTCTGATAAATACACTATATGTATATAGGTAAGCTGTTATTACAGACATATGTACATTCATATTACACATACACCATTAATTATTTATTAGTCAAAGGTGATGGAACTGAGAAACACACCATGAAAGGGCACAGAGTAGGGTGATCAGTAGTTTTCCATGTTAACCATTAAAGCCTTAAATAAAAATTAAGTATGTCATGCTCTCTCCAAAGAATTAGATAGTGTATTTCTTTGACACAATATTAAATGACTGATGAATCAGAAAAAAAAAATCTTTTGATAAAGGACTTTATAACAGATCTAGCAAATATTGGGACTTACCAAAAGGAAATGCACAACATCTCCTCTGCAGAAAGCAAGCATGGGATTCACAGAATTATGCGCTGCCACAAAGTGCCAGGCCAGCAATGGTACACTGGAAGGATCCATCTAAGTGAAGAGAAAACCAAAAAAATTCATCAGGGTTAATGGGCAAAAAGACAAATAGAAAACTGATTAAAAACACCATCTGGCTAGTGTTCCTTCTACCAATTACTCATTAAAATGCCAACAAAGGCCGAAACCGGTTTGGCTCAGTGGATAGAGCGTCGGCCTGCGGACTGAAGGGTCCCAGGCTCGATTCCGGTCAGGGGCATGTACCTGGGTTGCGGGCACGTCCCCAGTAGGGGATGTGCAGGAGGCAGCTGGTCGATGTTTCTCTCTCATCGATGTTTCTAACTCTCTATCTCTCTCCCTTCCTCTCTGTGGAAAATCAATAAAATATATTGAAAAAAAAAAAAAAAATGCCAACAAAGCAGAGATATTCAATAATACAAATCTGTGTATTTTATTGTATGTAAATTTTATAAGAGAGGAAAAACTTAGATAACTATAGCTAATCATACGCATGCTGATCTTTAGATTAAGAAAAAACAATGCTGATTTCTTCAATTTACTTGGAAATAAATAAATAAATAATTTGGTAAGTAGATGAAGAGATGGATAGATACATAGTAAATATAGTACACTAAAATGTTAATTATAGAATTTAGATGGTAGGTATACAGATGTTTAATGTAAGTTTTTTTCAACTTCTCTGTTTGAAAATGTTCATAATAAAAGGTTGGAACAAATACCAATAAAAACATACAAAAAGGATGCAAACACAAAACACCATGATGAACCTCAATTAGCCAATGAAGTTAACCTAAGAAATACTAGTGGCAATCTAAACCAGCTTTGCCAGACTTCCGCTGGGGCCTAGAGATATACAGAGTACCAACAAGGAAACAGAAGCGTGATCTCCCTCAGTATAAGGGCTGCTTTCTGAAGTAGTCTTAGTTCAGTAGCATCATTCTCCATCCCATCCCATCAATACTTCTCACACACACACACTGGAAGACCACAACCCTCTGAAAACAATCAAGGAGGAAAGAAAGGAAATCAGGTGTGTATAACATACCAGAGGCAGAAGCCAAGGAAACAGTATGTAGTAGCAATATATGTTAGCTATTGTTTTCTACCAGTTCAGTATCTAAGCAGCAGCTAAAAAAAACTTAAAGCAATAAAGGTAGAGAAGTTCAGATCTCATGATCCTAGGAACACCGATGTAGTCAACAGCTTATGCTGCTTTGGTCACATCAAGGTAAGCCCAGACAATTATCTTTGGAGTAGACTTTCATCTACCTGGTTTTATGACAATCTCATAGAATTCACCACTTGAATTTTGTTTTCCCCAACCTCCTGACATGGTTTTTTTGCTGAAAACATGGAGAAGCTTACTCACACGTCCATAGGGAAAAGTCATCCACACTTTCAAGGATGGTTTCAATCCAATGACCAGTATCTTCAGGAGAAAAAATATCATTTAATATTTATCCTGTCATTTTCAATTTTTTTGTTTTTCAAAGCCTTTCTAAAAGGTCTGAGTTCCATCTTCTAAATACACCCACCTTGGTTAAGGATGCCATGGCCAGTAAGGAAAACTGTGTGATGGGATGATCTTTCAAGTCAGGCTTAGAATGAAGAGGCTCAATACAGCACACTTCACCCTTGGAACCACTGAACAGGCATCTAGACTCACAAGTTCTCACTCCCATCACTCTCCTGAAAATGTAACCAAAAGATTCAGAAGCAATTTAGCAATGACCCAAGGCACTATCATCTCTAGCTTGGACTATGACAATAGCCTCCTAACTTCTACTCTGGCCCCCAGCAATGCAAACTCCACAAGACATCAGCATGATCTTTTTAAAATATAGGCCAGATTTATTACTCTTCTAAAAAACACTCCAATGGCTTGCCACTGTACACAAAATAAAATCCAAACTTCTTTACATGTTTTAAAAGGCCCTATATGATCTGGCTCCAGCCTTCACATGCTCCCATTACTGTTGTTCCTGAGAAAGTCACACTCCAGCCACATCTAACTTATTCCCAGTTGCTCCAGCAGGCCAAGTTTGTGCCCACCCATCAAAGCCTTTGTGCCTGAATGTCCCTCTGTCTGAAATATTTCTTTCAGATCTTTACATCTGTTGACCACATTATCATTCAGATCTTTACTCAAATGTCAGCTTCTGAGAGAAGCCTTCCTGAATTATACTCAAGTGCACTCCAGCACACTGACCTGTCTTCTTTTCTTCACAGCACTCATAACTATAGAAATTATTTCATTTGTGTGCTGGTTTATTGTCTGTATCCCTCCCCCCACCCCAACAGCTACAACTTTGGTGCCTAGAACAATGGTTACACATACATATGCTCAATAAAAATTAGCTGAACAAATAAATAGTATTTTTTTAAGCAATTACTTTGGCCTCAGCATTGTCAGAAGGTATAAGAAATACAAGAAACAAAAAAAGTCCTTAAAGAACTTAGGGAAACATAATACACATTATATTTGATATTCTATTTTTCTAAACTCAGCTTTATAAGTGTTCGTCCATGTTATCGAAATAGTCTTCGCTCTTATTTAAAGTATAAATGGGGCAATTCTAAGACAATAAAAACCTTCCTATACTTGGCTACTCTGGTTTTATAATCAGCTCAGCCTGAGAACTAAAGGAAAATTAGTGAAATACTCCAGAATAATAGTTCCCCAAATCTGGGAAGTAGTTTAGAATCCCAGCTCAAACCTACTAAGGTAGAGATTGAGGGGTGGAAGGCAGGCCTGGGACTCCATATGTTCCATAAGCCTCCTCAGGACATTATAATACAGAACCACAACCTATTTTCAATTACATGAGTTTTCCAGACTTCTTCATGTTCAACTTGAAGTCATTAACCAGAGCTAGTCTTTTCATTTGTCAACAAATGTCCATTAGTCTCTTACTTAAATGTCAATTCAAAAACAGAGCCTCCACTGTCGTTGCAAATTGCAAGAGTTGGATCATCTGTAAACTGAACAGAGAAAAAATTTATTTTCTTGTAACAGGTCAAATGTTAAGAAGGTAGGGGAGAAAAACTTTTTTAAAATCTAAAACAAACATGCTTAGCATTAAAAACACCTTAGCTAAACTTAGCTTATCACTCTAAACACACAAACTTACACATCTTCAGAATAAAAATGGTTCAAATCTTTTAAAACCTGTGGTTTTAAAAATGCAAAACCACCTTTCCTTAGGATAAAAGAAAAATACAAACTATAATTCATAAAAGCCCTAAAGTTTTCTACTTGGGTTCTTTAATTTTTTTCTAACTTACTATTAAAACTGAATAGGATACTTTGGGTGCATTTGCAGTTGCTTTGTTTTCAAGAATAAAGACACAATAAAAGATATTTGGTATCTTTGGAGAATAAACATGTCTGAATATGTTTTCTAAATAACTGAGGAGTTAATCCATTATACATAAAATAGTTTAACTTTTTATATAACTATTCCTAAATGTGCTGTTCCTAAATGTGCTGCCTCCTTGCTCTTCTTCAACTAACAGTACCTCAGTTACTATTACTTACTCTTGAAAGCCCAAAGTAATAAATAATGTTCACAGTGACAGGCTGTCCTACGGGTTTATGAGGTATGGTAAATGTAGATGTAGTACACTACAAAACTGAATAACTTACTAACTTGTACCATATACAGTGACTGGTCTCCTTAACCCAATAGTTGGTGAGCCATCCTAAATGGCGTGCTTACATGCTCTTAGTCAGGAATGGTTGAGGTACAGGAGGCCACTGTAAAATTATTCCTCCTCGACCTCACACACAGGCATAGTAAAGAAGTCCCACACTTGTGCTCTCAAAGCCTGGCTGAGCAGTTGCCAAAGTGGGAGGCATATACCCCAGAGGATAGGAAAAATAACAGAACTGTATTTTTATTTATTAATTTTCTACATCATGTGTATGTGTTTTACAATGTATTTAAGTACTAGTACAGTATGTTCATATAATTTTAAAATATATAAACAAATAAAAATACGCAAGCCCAAAATGTTATTGATGAGATGTAGAGTTAACTTTAGAGAACAATGAGTAAGAATACTGAAGTGCAAGTGGCTACTGTCAATCCAAAACTACAGAAGTATCTAATCATATATATCTCTTGCCACACTTTTCTCCAATGTCACATGTCTGAGTGCAGAACCACCTTTACCACCATTCCCAAGCAACAGGATAGCTACAACTACTATGCTTTTAACCTCAGCTGCATTCTTCTCTTTTCTCTTTGCCTTTTTAGCTTCTTTCCTATTGTTTCTCCTAAAAGGTATGTTTTTTCTGCAAATGGGCTGGCCTTTCATAAACATCACCAACTAATTATTCCTTCAACCAAACATTTATTGAGCAGCTACTATGCATAACACAAAATAAATGAGAAACAGATTCTGGTTTCAAAGATCTTAATCTATTAAAGGAGATAAAACATAAACACAAACAACTATAACATATTATCAGTTGGTACACGCCATATGAAAAAAGGTCAAAATAAAGTGCCATGATGTTCAGAAAGAAAAGAAATTCTCTCTACTTTTACTTATCTTGGTTGTTTTCATTGTTGCTAAATGCTTCAATGCTTTCTCACAGAAGACTTTTATGTAACTAACCTAAATCCAGACACATAAACTCCAGATGCTTGCAGACTGTAAAAAGCAGATGTATGGATAAGAGAGGTCTGCACAGCTAAGCAACCAAATGTGTACCTGATTAAAATCTAGAAAATCTAATTTTAGACTTCCCTAGTTATAGTCCTCTACCTTTTATGCTTCTAAACATGGGCTTGACAATATACAAAAACCAAGCTTTACACTGTATTTACAAATAAAATCTGTGTCCTAAGTTGGTTTATTTTTTTCAGGCCTGTAAGGAGAAAGCCAAGATTCAAATCTTAATGCTTTTCCTTTAGAGGCCTGAAAGAAAATAAAGCAACAGATTCATTTCTAAACATAATGCAAACCTTGGTTCTTTCACAGTTGGTGCCTTGAACCTCAGGTAACTCCCAACAAAGTGTGACTAGGCACACTATCTCAGCAATAAAGCCTTGGTGGACTAAACAAAAGGTAAAAAGACCTTTTAAAATCATCACAATGAGCTTCATTAAGGTAACACCTGTCTTTGCTGCCAACCTCTTACCTAGGAGCACATCAGTGTACTCTTTTCCTGCTATATCTATTAGACATCAATTCAACTTGCAGCTGAATGGTACCATGCTAGCCCACCTCTGGATTTTCACTTGGGAAAACATCTTGTTGGACTAGTCAAACCAAAGACAGTTTCTTTTCAGGATTTCTTTTTATAAAGAAATGTACTTAAAAACAGATACAAAGGCATAATAATAAAAAGTATCAGAAAAAGAAAACAAAGATATTACCTTAATATGCAATATTGCTGTTCCTGGAGGATGAGCATCTGTTATTGATCTTAGGAGTTTTCCACTGGCCAAATCCCACATAGTAATCTAAAAGACAACTAAATGCTTTAAAAAACAAATTTATTGCTATTTTTTGGACTTAAATATCCTGCCTTCTTGCTGAAATAATCTATTCTTGGTCTATAAACATTGCAGGCAAAGAACCATAAAGTTAAAATATAACTCAAGGTTACAGACACATTAAAGCACGGGGCCTTCATTCCATCTTCATCCACCCCTCATCCCGCCCAATCTACTTCTCCCTTTAGATTTTAAATGTTGTTTTTATACTGACAGGTCAAAGAAATTTCTTTAATGAGTCCATTTCTTTAGGACTGATAAAAATTACAGGAAAGTCTTACTACCAAACTAGCCAGTGATGTATAAGTCACAAGGTGAGAAATACCCTATATTATTGCCAGTTTCAGAAGTGGAAAGAAATACCAAAATAGTTATCCAAGAGCACAGTAATAAGAACACGCAAAGCAGAATATACTGTATTTTAAAAGTAGCAACAATTATCTACACTACTGCAAGGAAATAAATGTTATATAACACCTGGGTTTGTTTATAAGAGCTATTTACTTATTCAGACACATGATTTAGGATATTAAAAATCACAGGCTTAAAAGGTCGGGGATTCAAGATGGCAGTGTAGGAAGATCCTAAACTCACCTCCTCCCATGGCTACACATAGAATAATTCCCTCTGAAAAAGACCTAAAAACTGCTAACAGCTCCTCCACAACAAAGATAAAAGGGCCACATCGAGATGGGTAGGAGAGACAGAGATGCAATCTTACCGGAAAACCACCCCAGCACGGCAACCCACTATCTAGAGCAGCGGTTCTCAACCTGTGGGTCGCGACCCCTTTGGGGGTCGAACGACCCTTTCGCACGGGTCGCCTAAGACTAAGACCATCGGAAAACACATATATAATTACATATTGTTTTTGTGATTAATCGCTATGCTTTAATTATGTTCAATTTGTAACAAAGACAATACATCCTGCATATCAGATATTTACATTACGATTCATAACAGTAGCAAAATTACAGTTATGAAGTAGCAACGAAAATAATTTTATGGTTGGGGGTCACCACAACATGAGGAACTGTATTAAAGGGTCGCAGCATTAGGAAGGTTGAGAACCACTGATCTAGAGAGATCTCAAAAATACAGTGCTTCTCCCTGGGGAGTGAGGAATTCATGCCCCATTCAGGCACTCCTACCCTTGGAGCCTGCATCAGAGAGATGAGCCCCAAAACACCTGGCTTTGAAAACAAAAGGGCTTGTGTCCAGGAAACACAAAGAGTTTTAGGGAACTGAGATTCTGCCCTTAACAGGCTTGCATGCGGACTTGCCCAGGAACCCAGCACAAAATCGGAAGTTTGAAAAGAACCTAAACTATCAGTAAAGGAGATTCATTTGCTAATCTTAAAGTGTCTGCTGAAGGGGCAGGGGCCTGATGGGACTCTCTCTGGGGATGGAGGCACTGTTGGGCACCATTTTTTGCTCCCCTTCTACCTAGTCAACACCAGTGCTAATGGATGCCATTTGTGCACCTTCCTTCTACATTGCTATTGCCAGCAGGTGTGTGCAGTCACAGTATACTCCTGTGCTGTCCCACTAAGTTGGAGAGCATGTCCCATCCCTACACTCCCCTGCTCTCTCACTAAAACTGGCAGGAGTGTCCCAGCCCGGTGCACTCTCACAGCCCCACCAAAGCCAGCAAGCACACCCCAGCACTGTCCAGTGGCCTCACCAAAGCTGGCAGGTTCGCTCCAGCCCTGTGCTCTCCCTTTGCCTTGCCACAATCAGTGGGAGTATGCCATTCACACAGGGGCAGGCTTCAGCTTTGCCACACATCTAGAGGCCATAGAGGAGCTCTCAGGGAATGTAGGCCAAAATATGTCATCTTTACACACTCTCTCACTACAGCTTGCTGGTACCTCCCAGAAAGGAGCTTATATACTTATCTGGAACCCAGATTTTTGCAGCTGTTTCCCAGGGGACACCTGCAGATCACCTGGACTGGAGGCCAGCAGGGTTTACAATTGCAGTTCCAGAGGACTGAATATATTTGTATACATTAAAAGCTGCTGCTGAAGGATATGGTTTTCAGTCAGCCTGAAACTGGGTGCTGAATGAGATCCCTCCCTTTGTAACACTGGCAGGGCATGGCAAATCCTCAACAACTGGGACCTATCAAAAATAAATCAGGCTGCTTAGATAATCACAAAGGTTCAAGAGACAACCAAGAGTTAGGGCCCGGTTGAAAATAAGGTTCATCTCTCCTACACAAGGTCACTCCTCAAGCGTGGGAGAGATCAACCAAAGGACTTGTTTGTATTTATATAAGCCTAACTAATGGACACAGACACCAGGGAGGTGAGGGCATGAGTGTGTGTGTGGGGGGGGGGGGGGGGGAATGGGGGAGAAGTAGGGGGGAAAAATAAAAAAAGAGTGGGAGAGGCAGCTACTTCCCCAAATACAGAGAAACAAATACAGAGTGTCAAGCAAAATGAGGAAACAAATAAATATGTTTAAAAAAAAACACACACACACACAAGATAAAACCTTAGAAAAATATATCTTAATAAAATGAAAATAAGTAATTTACCTAATAAAGAGTTCAAAGTAATGGTAATAATGATGATCACCAAACTTGGCAGGAGAATGAAGGAACACAGTGGGAACGTCAAAAAAGACATAGAAACTATAAGAAAGTGGCAATAAGAAAGAAAGAAAAAAGAAAGTGGCAAATAGAAGTCACAGAGTTGAAGAATACAATAGCTGAAATGAAAAAAAAACAAAACAGGGGCTCAACAGCAAACTGGATAAAGTAGAAGGATCAGTGATCTAAAAGACAGAGCAGTGGAACTCACCCAAACAAAGTAGAAAAAAGAAAAAAGAATTTAAAAAATTAAGCTAGCTTAAGAAACCTAGGGGTTAACATCAAGTGAAATAACATTCACATTACAGGAGACCCAGAAGAAGAAAAAAGAGAGAAAGAGGCAGAAAACTCAATTTAAAGTCATAATGGTTGTAGCCCTAGCCAGTTTGCTCAGTGGTTAGAAAGTCAGCCCATGGACTGAAGGGTCCCAGATTCCATTTCAGTCAAAGGCAGGTATGTTGCAGACTCGATCCCCAGCCCCAGGCAGGGTATGTGTGGGAGGCCACCAATCAATGTGTCTCTCTCACATTGATATTTCTCTCTGTCTCTCCCTCTCCCTTGCATTCTCTCTAAAAATCAATAGAAAAATACCCTTGGGTAAGGATTAACAAAAAAACCACAAAGTAGATTATTTTAAAAAAAATAAATAAAAGACATAATTGCTGCAAACTTCCCAAACCTAGAGAAGAAAACAGACATCCAGATGAGGGAACTCAGATGATATCCACATCAAGAGACATTATAATTAAAATGTCAAAAAGTAAAGATAAAGAGAGAATGTTAAAAGCAGCAAGAAAAAAACAACTTGTTACAAACAAGGGAACACCCCCCTCCCCAAAGATTACCAGCATTTTTTTCAGCAGAAACTTCGCAGACCAGAAGAGAGTGGTATGATAAATTAATTCAAAATGCTGAAAGGAAAACTCTTCCAGAGCACTCTACTGGGCAAGGTTATCATTCAGAATTACATGAGAGATAAAGAGTTTCAAGATAAACAAAAGCTAAAATAGTACATCACCACTAAACAGGCCTTACAAGAAATGTTAAAGGGACTTCTTTAAACTGACAGACACTAATTAGTAACAAGAAAACAGATGAAAATAAAAATCTGACTGGTAAAGTTAAATATATAGGAAAGGTAGTAGATTAAAGTTAATATGAAAATTAAAAGACAAATGTAATAAAGAGAACTAAAACGACAATAAATAGTTAAGGGATACACAAAACAAAAAGTTGTAAAATGTGACATTGAAAATAAAACATATGGGAGGGAAAGTAAAAATGTAAAGTTTTAGAATGCATTAAAACTTAGCTTGCAGCCTAAGTGCCCATCAGCAGATGAGTGGATTAAAAAACTGTGGTACATCTACACAACTGAATATTACGCTGTGGTAAAAAAGAAGGAATTCTTACATTTGCAATAGCATGAATGGAACTGGAGAGCATTATGTTAAGCAAAATAATGAATAACATAAACTGATGAACAAAAACAGATCCAGAGACAGAGAAGCATTGATCAGACTGTCAAACCTCAGAGGGGAGGGTGGGAGTAAAGGGGAGAGATCAACCAAAAGACTTGTATGCATGCATATAAGCCTAACCAATGGACACAGACACCAGGGGAGTGAGGGCATGAGTGGAGGAAGGGGTGCGGGGGGAAGGGGGGGTGAATGGAGGGATAAGGACACATATGTAATACCATAATCAATAAAATAAAATAAAAATTAAAAAATCAATGGAAAAATATCCTCAGGAAAGGATTAAATAAATAAATAAATAAAATTTAAAATGCAGAAAAAAACTTAGCTTGCTATAAATTTAAAAGATAATAAGAAAGGAGTCTAAGCATAACAATAAAGTCATCAAACTATAAAAAATAGAGAGCAAGAGAAGAAGAAAGGAACTATAAAACAGCCAGAAAACTATCAACAAAATGGCAATAAGCACATAGCTGTCAATAATTACTTTAAATGTAAGTGAACTAAATTCTCCAAACAAAAGACACAGAAGTGGCTGAATAGATTAAAACACAAGACTCATCTATACGGTGACTACAAGACTCACTTCAGATGTACAGACACACACAGAATGAAAGTAAAAGGACAGAAAAAGATGTTTCATGCAAATGAAAGCCAAAAGAAGGCTGGGGTAGCTATACTTCTATCAGACAAAAGAAACTTTAAAACAAAGTCTGTAATAAAAGACAAAGATGGGCATTACATAATAATAAAGGGGTCAATCCAACAAGACAATAAACATTAGTAAATGTTTATGAACCCGACATAGAAACACCTAAATATATAAAGCAAATATGAAAAACCTAAAGAAAGAAATTGACAGCAATATAATAATAGTAGGGGATTCTAATACCCCACTTACATCAATGAATTGATCATGAGACAGAAAATCAGTAAGGAAACATGGGCCTTAAAGATGTACTTAACATATAAAGAACATTCAATCCAAAAGCAGCATAATACACAGTCTTCTCAAGTGCAAAAAGAACATTCTCCAGGATAAATCACATGTTAGGCCACAAAACAAGTCTCAATAAATTTAAGAATACTCAAATCATTATCAAGCACCTATTCTAACCACAGAGTGTAAAACTAGAAATTAAAAAATCTCAAATATGTGGAGGTTTTACAATATGCTACTGAACAACCAACTGGTCAATGAAGAAACCAGAGAAATCAAAAAGTACTTTGAGACAAATGAAAACAGAAATACAACATACTAAAATCCATGGGATGCAACAAAAGCAATTCTAAGAAGGAATTTCATAGCAATACAGGCCTACTTGAAGAAACAAGAAAAAACACATATAAATAAGCTGAGTTTACACCTAAAGGAACTAGAAAAAAAGAAACAAAACAAGCCCAAAGTTAATAGAAGGAAAGAAATAATAAAGATCAGAGCAGAAATAACTGTTATAAAGACCAAAAATACAAAAAAAAAAAAAGCAATAAAACTTAGAGCTGGTTCTTTGAAAAGATAAACAAATAGACAAACCTTTAGTTAGAATCAACAAGGAAAAAAAAAGAAGCCTTAAGTAAAAAATGTAATAAGTTACAACTGATACCACAGAAATACAAAGAAGCATAAGAGACTACTGTGAACAATTATATACCAACAAATTCGACAATCTAGAAGAAATAGATCTAATTCCTAAAAACATACAATCTTCCAAGATTAATTCATAAATAGGAAATCTGAATAGACCAATTACTAACAGGAGACTGAATCAATAATCAAAAATCTCCCAACACACAAAAGTCCAGGACCAGGTAGCTTTACTGCTGAATTCTGCCAAACATTTGAAAAAGATTTAATGCCTTTCTCAAATTCTTCCAAAAAACTGAAGCGGAAATAACATTTCCAAACTCAATTTTGAGGCCAGCATTACTGTGATAACAAAACCAGACAAAAACAAAAAATTATAGGCCAATATCATTGAACAAAGATGCAAAAATCCTCAACAAAATATTAGCAAACCAAATTCAACAAAACATTAAAAGGGATGCAAAGATGGTAGAATATCCACAAGTTAGTCAGCATGGTACAACACATCTATACTAATAAAAGGGTAATATGCTAATTAGACCAGGTAGACCGGACATCTTCCAGACGTCCGACTTCCTTCTGGACAAATCCACGGTGGCGGGGGCCGAGGCAGAGGCCATTAGGGGCGATCAGGCCAGTAGGGGTGCAGTTAGGGGGCAACCAGGTTGGCAGGGGGGGCAGTTAGGCGGTGACGAGGCCAACAAGGGGAGGGGGGCAGTTAAGGGGTGATGAGGTCAGCAGGGGGGCAGTTAAGGAGTGACGAGGCCGGCAGGGGGGCAGTTAGGAGGCGACCAGGTCTGCAGGGGACCAGTTAGGGAGCGATCAGGCCAGCAAGCAGAGGCAATTAGGGGCGATCAGGCCGGCAGGGGAGGGCAGTTGGGGGCAATCGGGCCAGCAAGGGAGGGCAGTTAGGTGGCAATCAGGCAGGCAGGCAGAGGCAGTTAGAGGCGATCAGGCAGGCAGGTGAGCGGTTAGGAGCCACCAGATTGTGAGAGGGATGTCCGACTGCCGGTTTAGGCCCCATCCCGCAAGGCTATTCTTTATATTTTTAACTAGAGGCCTGGTGCATGAAATTTGTGTGTGTGGGGGGGGGGTTCCCTCAGCCCGGCTTGCACCCACTCCAATCTGGGACCCCTCAAGGGATTTCCAACTGCCAGTTTAGGCCCAATCCCGCAGGGGTGCACACACAAATTTCGTGCACCAGGCCTCTAGTTAAAAATATAAAGAATTGCCTTGGACAGGTGGCTCAGTTGGTTGGAGCATCAATCTGTGCTCCAAAAGGTTGCCAGTCAATCCCTAGTAAGGGCACGTATCTAGATTATGGGTTCAATCCCCGGCTGGGCACATATGGGAGGCAACTGATCTATGTTTCCCTCTCGCATCAATGTTTCTTTCCTTTCCCTTCCCTTCCCTTCCCTTCCCTTCCCTTCCCTTCCCTTCCCTTCCCTTCCCTTCCTCTCCCTCTCTCTCTCTCTCTCTCTCTCTCTCTCTCTCCCCCCCCCCCCCCGCCTCCCTCTATTCTAAAAAGAAAAAAAAATCAATAGAAACAGCCTCAAGTGAGGATTAACAGGAAAAATACATAAATAAAATAAAGAATAAAATCATATGATTACCTTAATGGACACAAGAAATCATTTGACAAAATTCAACATCAATTTATGATAAAAACTCTCAACAAAATGGATATACAGGCAGCATATCTCAACATAATAAAAGTCACATATGGCAAGACCATAGCTAATATAGTGAATAATGAAAAGCTGAAAGTTTTTCCTCTAAAATCAGGAACAAAACAAGGATGCCCACTTTTGCCATTTTTACTCAACATAGTATTGAAAGTCCTAGCCAGCACAATTAGGAAAGAAAAAATAAAGAGCATCCAAATTGGAAAGGAAGAAGTAAAAGTGTCATATTTGTGGAAAATGTAATTTTATATAGAGAAAATGCTGAAGACTCCACCAAAAAAACTGTTCAAATTAATAAACAAATTCAGTGAAGTTGCAGGGTACAAAATCAATATACAAAATTCTGTTTTGTTTCTGTACAAAAACAACAAACTATCAGAAAGAGAAATTAAGAAAACAATCCCATTTACAATTGCATCAGAAAGAATAAAATACCTAGTATTAAACTGAACCAAGGTGGTGAAAGACCTGTACACTGAAAATTATAATGCACTGAGTGGAAGAATCTGAAGACGACACAAATAAATGGAAAGATATTTCAAGCTTATGGATTAGAAGAATTAATGTAGTTAAAATGTCCATAGTACTCAAAGCAATATATAGATTCAATATAATTCCTCTAAAAATTCATGACATTTGTCAATGAAACAGAACAAACAATCCTAAAACTTATTTGGAACCATAAACACCCAAATAGCCAAAGCAATCATGAGAAAGAAGAACAAAGCTAGAGGTATCACACTCCTGGATTTAAAACTATATTACAAAGTTATAGTAATCAAAACTATATGGTACTGGCATAAAAACAGATACAGAGATCAATGGAACAGAACAGTGACCCCAGAAATAAACCCAGATATATTACTTCATGACAAAGAAGGTAAGAATACACAATGAGGAAAGGACAGCCTCTTCAATAGATGGTGCTGGGAAAACTGGACAGCCACATGCAAAAAAGAATAAAACTGCACTAAGAATAAAATCTTACACCATACAAGAAAATTAACTCAAAATAGATCAGACTTGAATGTAAGAATGTAAGACTGAAACTACAAGACTCCTAGGGAAAAAAAAAATAGACAATAAGTTCCTTGGTGATAAATTTTTGGATGTGACTCCAAAGCATAAATACACAAGTGGGACTACATTAAATTAAAAAACTTCTGTACAGCTAAGGAAACCATCAACAAAATGAAAAGGCGATGTACTGAATGGGGGAAAATATGTACAAATCATATATCTGATAAGGGGTTAATATCCAAAATATATAAAGAACTCATACAACTAAATAGCAAGAAAAAAAAAAACACCAAAACTTTTTTTTTTTTTTTATGAGCAGGGGATCTGAAGAGCCATTTTTCCAAAGACATACAGAAAGCCAACAAGCACATGAAAAGATTCAACATCACTAATCATCAGGGAAATGCAAATCAAAGCCAAAATGAGATATCACCTCACACCTGTTAGAATGGCTAGGATTAAAAGACAAGAAATAACAGGTGTGGACGAGGGTGTGGAAAAACAAAACTCTAGTGTACTACTGTTGGGAATGTAAGTAGGTGCAGCTACTGTGAAAAATAGTATGGAGGTTCTGCAAAAAATTAAAAATAGTACTACCATATGACCCAGCAATTCCAATCCTGGGAATTTATCCCCCCAAAAATAAAAATACTAACTCAAAAAGATATCTACAGCCTCATGTTCACCGTAGTATTTACAACAGCTAAAATGTGGAAATAATCTAAGGGTCCATCAATGGATGAATGGATAAAGAAGATGTGATAAATATATATATGTATATATATGGAAGTTTGCTATTTGTGACATGGATGAACCCTGAGGGTATTATGCTAAGAGACAGACAAATATATGATTTCACTTATATATGGAATCTAAAAAAACAAGAACAAAACAAAACTCATTGATATGGAAAACAGACTGGTGGTTACCAGAGGGAAGGGGGCTTGAGGGTTGGATAAAATGAGTGAAGGGGGTCAAGAGGTACAAATTTCCAGTTATAAAATAAATCAGTTGTGGGGCTGTAATGTACAGCATGATGACTACAGTCAATAATATTGACTGCATATTTAAAAGTTGCTAAGAGAGTAAATCTTAAAAGTTCTCATTATAAGAAAAAATAATTATATAACTCTGTATGATGATGAATAGTAAAAAGACTGTGGTGGTAATTCAGATATATACAAATATGGAATCATTATATTGTACACTTGAAACTAATATAATGTTATATGTGAATTATAACTCAATTTTTAAAAAATCACATACTCTTGCTCAGTCAATAACAATTACTACAAAATTTGAATAAGACAAAAGTAAGACTGAGCAATCTCAGCTCTATAGGCATGTCCCTTTATAACATATTTTGGTCTTCAAGATATTGATCTAGAGATACTATTTTTAAAAAGTGATTTCAACATTGTCTTATGGGTAAATAAAGTACACATTTACCTGTCCTTTAGCAAAGCCACAGAGAAGTCTTGAGCAGTCGTTGTTAATACTGAGGGCAGAGATGGCTCCATACTGACCTCCAACACTAGTGCTACCCAGACAGAGTCGCAAGGCTTGATTCTGATCTAAAGAAAGCAATTTGTAAAATCAAGTGAAAGAAATGGAAGGACTAAATAAATACATATTTATTATAGGCTTGTTTTCAAAAACTTGGGAGGTACCAAGAATCAACTGATTAAGTTACATCATTTTAAATACATGTATTAAGCATCTACTAAAGGCTCGGCACCGAATTAGACACTAAGAATGCGGGGGGGTTGGGGGAGACACAATATCCACACAGAAGCATAATACACAACTTGCTAATGATAAGTAAAAAACTCCACAAGAAACCTGTGTCTTTCCACAAACAACCCCTTTCATCGCCCTCATTCCATAATTGTATTTCTTGCTATTTTTAAGATGAAAAGTTACAGGGAATACCGCCTTTTTAAGTAGCTTTAAAAATTGAAAAATCAAATTTTATTAATTTAGAATTTGACTGAAATTTCCATTTCTATTACCCATGAAGAAAAGGTTTACTAAGCAAATTAACAGAACAAATAAAATTATAGTGTTTAAACTACTTAACAGAATTATTTCAAGCATCAACACTTGATATGCTAAAAGTAAATAATTAAAATCTCTACTAGATTAAGTTATTTAAGGGCAAGGATTTTGCCTTAATCAGCTCTGATATCTCCAGGAGGCACTCAAATATTTATTAAATGTTATTATCTAATAATTAAAAGAAATTTCTCTAGGGCGTCTCCTAGATAATGCTTATTTTGTATAGCGTTCATTACTGTACCCACTTGAAACCCATGAAATAAAAAATTTAAATATAATAAGGCATGCCTACAAAGTGTAACTTTAGAGAGGAAAATAAATAAATCCACCACGCTTGCACAATCTGGAATTCTCTCAACTCCCTCAGCAATTGTTTATATCACCCTTCACTAGTATTAAAAACAATACAAAAGGCCCAAAATGGAGTCACTTTTGCTAAGCCCCCTATCACCAAACTAAGACTTAATACGTAATTAGTTTCGGTGTCTCCCAGGAATGGAATTTTAAACCAGTCCATCAGGAACTGCCTGGTCAGTACTAGTCAGGTAATCTCTCTGACAGACCTGTCATAAAGGAAGATGACCTTGCCACAACCAATCTGCTTTTTGCTAGTATTAACTTCCTTGCTCCATTCCCTGCTGCCTATAGAAGTCTTTCATTTTGTATAGCTTCTGGGAGCTCCTTTCTATATGCCAGATCAGCGATTTTCAATCTTTTTAATCTCATGCCATACATAAACTATTCACCAAAATTCTGCAGCACACCAAACAGTGTATTTTTTTGCCGATCTGACAAAACAAAATAGGTATCATTTTGATTCATTCACATGGGATGGCTATTGTTGTGTGAGCTGTTGTTACTTTTTTATTTGACAATCTAAGGGAAAAGAGGTCAGTGCCCTGACTAAATAGTCAGGTATTGCATGTTCTAAAAATTCTTACGTCACACAGGTTGAAAACTGCTGTGCTAGATGATGCTACCTGATTCATAAATCACTGAATTAAGCCAATAAAATCTTTAAAATTTACTTAGCCAAATTTTATTAATATTATCTATATGCTACTTTTTGGAGGTAAATATGTTTTCCACTATGAGAATAAGACCTCCGTAAGGCAAAAGTTGTACGTGAATAAACACTCCCAGAATACTAGCATGGTGCCTTCCTTACACTCAGCGGCATCTGACAATTATCTGAACAGCGTCCACATTTGCAACTCTTCCTTTTGTAAGGGTAGTTATCAGAAACAGCCACAAAACATGCATTCTCAGGTCTAGGAAATATTATGTAAGTCCTTTTGCCCATCCAAAGTTAAATACTGTAAGAATATTTTTCTATGTTCATAAACTGGCTCAAATAGCAATTTCCACCTTCCCAAGGAATTCTGACACAATTGATGGCTGTATGGTATCTGCCACACAAAAAATACTTCTCGGTTACTGAAATCATTTTAGATTTTAGCCTTCTATGATGAATATTCAAAAAGGAGTAAAACTCATAAATATATAAGGGCTGATGTGTTTTAAAAGTCATTATCTTTATTCATATCTAGCATTATTACAATTACAGATTTTTTTTCTACTTTCCTTATTTACATATTTTTTCTTCCCTCCCCTAGTTTAATTCAAATTATTAATATTTCCTTTATTTTCCTTACTCTAAATATGAAGTGACATTTTATTTTGCTTAACTGAAACTGTCTATAAAAACTGGTGTTTCCCATTGTCCTTATCAGGGTTGCCTTAAGCAGTCAGCAGCTTATCCATACACCTTATTTTGCAAACTGTCACGATACAACAGTTGGGCAATAGTGTTCCATACATACCACTACTTTGGGTCATGCGTGTAGGCAATGGATGAACTGACAGTTAAGAGGACAAAGGCAGAAACTCCATTCCAGTCTCACAAAGCCCCCAGAGTCCAGGCTCCTGCCTTCCAAGCACAGAGTCCTGTCTGAATATAGTCCTGCTGTGATCCTTTGTAATCACTGCTTTGAGATCCAACCTTTACATAGTTCGGATCCACCAAACTTAGAGACAACCACTATTGCTTTCTGATTTAACAAAGTTCATGCTTTAAATTAGACTAAGTATTATAGCTCAGGAAAAGTAAGAATAGGAAAATTAAAGTGTATGATAAAATAGAAAATAAAGGTACCATTAAGAAAGAGGAAACAGAGAAGAAAAGAGGAAAGGAAAAAGACAGTACGTGATTTGTAGGTTAAAAACCCAAACATGACTCTGCTTTCCTAACTATGGGTCCCCTGTACTGAAAACTAGCTAGACAAGAAACCAAATTATCAACCTTGGCCATTCCTGAAAGATGTATTCATTTACATCCAACAGGACTGTGTTAATAAAAATAATCTCAATTTTTTTCTCGATTTTTACAATGTATTCATTATAATACATTATAGTGAATTATAATACATTGATAATGTCCCTTTATAAGATCACATGGCTAGGAAGTGATGCACAATATATAAAATATAACCTATTTTAACTTCAAAAGATATTTATCAATTCTTATTGCTGGCTTTATACAATCTATTTTTACAGTACCATATTAACAAACTAGCTATTATAGAATTTAAACTAAATTCAGAAGAGGTAGATTTCTATACATAAAGGAAAATATAGTCTTATTGGAGTGGTTTCTTTGCTAGAGTTAACTAAACACTCTATAGTCCAAGTAATTCTGGACAATTCTGGGGAAAGTTACAAAAATAAAAATAAAACTTCTTTCAAACACTTAAATTCTGTAGTTACATGGACAGAAGCAAGTAAGATGAAAATCAGTGCTCTCTGCAAATTCAACTCTCCAGGGGCTCTTGATCTCAATTTAAATACAAACATTCTATTCTCCCCCTACTCTCAGAATTCTCCTTTGTCTATCATTGGGGTGAAAGGATTAAATTAGTAACATCTAATTTCATTTACAAGTTCACATAAAGCCACTTTTGGTTGGCACTGTCAACTTAGTTTTTTGTGTGTGTTAATTGGAGTGGGTCCTTATGAAGCAAATACAGTGGGGCCTTGACTTACGAGTTTAATTCGTTCCGAGACCAAGCTCGTTAAGGAGCTCGTTAACTCAAATTACTCTATCAACTCAATGCAAAAAATCAGCCGAGAGAAAAAACTCATTAGTCGGGACGCTCGTAAATCAAGGCCCCCACTGTAGCTGGACAAGAAATAGGAAATGAAACTATCTTTTTTCCTATAAACTTCACAAAATTGGCATACAGCTTAATGAGAAGTACAAAATGGTATAAATGAAAGAGATTATTATTAACAATAAATAGATTACCAATTAATTAGAAGAACTTGTAGCCCAGGTATCACAAAAAGCACATTTATTTGACACTGCAATGAATTATACCTATTTCTTTTATTAGCATACCTTTCAAAGTATACTTCACTTAGGGTAGATCTCCTCGGTATATTCTGGGCTTAAGAGTAATGTACTGAATAGCAAAGAAAAGTCACAAATAATGCATAAAGCCTATAATAGCTATCAAATCTAAATGTGAACATACTCCCAGAATTTTTCTTCTCTTTCCATGTACCAAAATTAACCCAATCCTCTATTTTTTTTTTTTTGTCCCTAATTTGTTTTAACTAGTTACTAAAGACTGTCAAAGTAGGAAATACCTAGATCCAAGAAGGAATCAAATTTAATTGTGTGTGCAGAGCTCTACTGCTATTGGCAGTATTCATCATTCTTCAGTATTACTCTTTTCTTATCCTTTGAGTACATTAAAATATTCTCTAAGACCAAAGGAGAAGCAAAGAGATATTAAGAAACATTTTTCATCAATGATTATAAAACAGCAAAAACACTTTTACCTGACCTCCATCTAACCAACACACAGAATTAAAGTTCTCATTCCCTCTGTAAAGGTTACTGACTGAACCCAGATAACACTGAATCCCCATGGCTAACTGGCTATTTTCTGGAATGCTGATCCTTACAAAGAGTCATTTGTGTTCACTCCCAAACTTGTTCATGCCATTCATGCCGCTCATAGTACTGTACTTTACAAACTTAATTAAAAATATATAAACTGATGAAATAGAATGAAAAAGAAAGGGCTATCATTTCCATGAAAACTAAATGAATGCTTTAGAGAAACTTGGTAAAGATAAATTGCTTTAAAAATTGTCATAAAATAGGATGTGTGCAAGATAACTGCAGAAGATTCAATAGAAGTTTTATGAAAACCTAATATTTTGTATTTAATTCACAGGTGCCTAAGCTCTTACCTCTTTTTTAAAAAATTAAAAGTGCAAATTTTGCATGACCTATTATTGATGCAGTTTATGATAAAAAAGATGCCACAGACCTCCATCTGGCAGATACAAACTCAAAGTAAAGGCTTTGGTATATATCAAAAGATTAAGGGGGAAATGAATATTTATATATTTTCAGTTAAAACATCTAAGGTATGCATAAATTTATAATTTTTAACAATTCTCTGTTTTAACTTTCAATTAGCTGGTTTTCTTCCATGAGCACTTCATAAGAGGGCACTGACTAATTGATAGCATTCTCTTTCAAAATTAAAAGGTCAAAAGAGAAAAAGTCACTCATGCAAACCAAAATTACTATACCTTTTCCTTTGAATCCATGGAGAAAAGATCAAAAGAGAGAAAGCAAGAGATCAGATCAAAAGTTCAGAAAAAAGACAGGTAAAATTTCAAGAGTTTAAGTGACAAACTATAGTTATCTATAGGAAGGATACTAACTGTGATTAATAGACATCTCTAGAGTTTATGGTTATATTCGGGTATTGGTTATTGGAAAAGAGAAAAGAAATAACATTCAAATTACAGCACAGTAAGTAAATCCAAGTTCATTAGGTTTGATAAAAACAAAATTAATTTTCGTCCTGGCTGGGTGGCTCAGTTAGTTGGAGAGCCATCCTATTTACTGAAAGGTTGGGGGTTCGATTCTCAGTCCAGACACATACAGAAGGCAACCAATCAATGTTCTCTCTCACATTGATGTCTCAATCTCTCTCTCCTCTCTCTCTCTCTCTCGCTCTCTCTCTCTCTCTCTCTCTCTCTCTCTTTCCTCTCAATCGATGCTCTCTCTCACAATGATGTTTCCCTTTCTGTCTCTCTCTCTCTCTCTCTCTCTCTCTCTCTTTCCCTCTCAATCGATGCTCTCTCTCACAATGATGTTTCCCTTTCTGTCTCTCTCTCTGTCTCTCTCTCTCTCTCTCCTTCCCTCCCTCCTCCTTCCCCTCTCTAAAAAAAAACAAAACAAAACTCCCCCCCTCCCCCAAGAAGACAGTCTACTAAAGTATGCTAGCAACCTAAAAAATGGAAAACTAAGGACCTTGGGATAGGGAAACATCTTTATTAATATTTGAATTTTTGAGATCCTCATATAGGTAAGATCCAAGATACGCAATAAATGCCATATATCTATAATTCCACACAAATAAGCAACATAGAAGTAGACACAGACACTGGGGCGGTGGGGGCTTGCCTCAGGGATGGGAGTGGTCGGGTGAGGGGGATCAATGGGGGGGGGGGACACATATGTAATAGTTTAAACAATTTAAAAAAAAGAATAAACAATATACATCATTCTTTATAAAGCTTATAATGATTACTATTTTAATGTCTCAGGTCACTATTCCAATGGGGAAATCTATTACTAATTAAACAAGTATGGTTCTTCCTTCTACACTTTATCCTATCATCAATGAAGATGTTTAAAACAATCAGCTTTAACCCAAGTTTTCAATCCAGACACTTCATAGTATTATTATTCTACCTAGGTTTTCAAGCAAATTTAATCAATTTGTTAAAACTCATTGTCCAAATATATGATTCTTACAAAAATGAGTAAAATTTATTAACACATAGTTAAAAACCCAAAGCACAATCAGAATATTAAGATTATTTCTCAAAATATTCACTCTAGAATACTTTCTGTTCCATTAACTTATAATAAGACTACTATTTCATCAGAAAGCTACTGGGATTTAAGGAAAATTAGGAAGCATGCCCAAGGAAATTAAGGAGACATTAGCAAAAGATAATATACTCTTCACCTTTGTTAGTTTTTGTTTTAATTATATTCATTTTAATTTGTTGCATTAATCTCTACATGGACTTGATTATAAGCAGGTACATATTCTTATAACTTCGTGGTAAGGAGGGAATGTTAAAACAGATAGAGTTGAGGAAAAATAATGGTAAGTGGTAACAAAAACTCAACATTCATTCTGCTGACAGATAAATATATGCCTTATATTCTATCCACTTTCACTTTAGTTCTTCTTTTCTTCATATATCTTGGAATTGGCCTCCTTTTCTCTCAGGACAGGAGAATTGCTCAGAATGGGGGGAATGCACTGATCTAGGATTCCATATTCCTTGATTCTAACCTTGGCTTTGTGCATGTCACTTAACCCCTCTGGTTCTCAATCACCTCATATGTAAAATAAGGGGACTGAACTAAATTACCTTTTAAGATCCTTTCCCAAAATCCTATCAATCCAATACCCGCTATGGTCCCCATAGGAAAACAAGCATTCCTACACCTGATAGCTGGTAAAACTTTCTGGAAGGCAACTAGACAATACATATTAGGCATGTTTAAGATGTTCATACCCTGACCCAGGATATGACTTGGGACTTTTAGGAATTTGTTCTAAGGAAGTAATCACATGTACAAAAATGCAGTAGCAAAGATGTTTACCACTATACTGTTTAGAAACAACCTAAATGTCTTATAGTAGGAAATTATTATGTAAATTATGGTGAATCCATCTAAAATAATATTATGTAACCATTGAAAATAATGTTACAGATGAATATATAATTACATGGACAGATGTTCACTATAATGAAAAAAAAAAGCAAGTTACAAATTACATGATCCCATTTGGGGGTCGGTATATGCACACAAGCACACACACATGTGCGCGCACACAAAAACACACACACAGAGAAAAATATTAGAAGGCTATATACAGAAATGTTAGGGACTATTCCTGCATGGAAGAATTTGGTATTTAATATCTTCAACCTTTTGCTCACCTATGTTTTCTAAATTTTCTATTATGAACACATATCAATAATGGAATCAGAAAAATATTATTTAAAAAATAAATTTATAATTCTCTTGAGAGAACCAACCATATTTTTCATTTCCATTCTTCTCATCTCCAAACAATAAAATTCATATTTATGTCAATCACCTTTGAAAACACTAGGTATAAAAAATCACATGATAAATAAGGCTTTGGGCATAATAAAAAATTTTATAAATAGGAAACCAAATTGTTCAAAAACAAGGGAAAATAACTAATCCTATATAATAAAGAGCTAATATGCTAATGGTCATGACATCCTCACGCCGCCGTAACGACTGTTCAGCAGGAGGCTGTGTACGAGGCAGGGCAGAGCCAGTGTGTTCACGCTCCAGAGACAGGACAGAAATGGAGAGGCGCCCGGAGGAGGCGGGCCCATCCCATGGTGGGGAGGGCCGGGGTGAGAGCCTGTAGCGCCCTGCCCTCACCGGTCCTTCGCCACCCACCACTCGCATTCAGAGCACCCCGCCGCCCACCTGCCAAGGGAAGGAGCGCAGCGCGCGCACCACCAGGAAGCGGAGCTCAAAACTCTGCAGCAGATGGGAGGCTTCCACGCTCTCCTATAGTGCCATGATGGGGTGGAGCCACCGCATTGCTCCCGAGATGGGCGGAAGCAGGGAGGCACCCAGAGGAGGCAGGACCAGCCCAAAGCAAGTCGTGGGACCAAGGGCGGGGCTTGAAGTGGCCAGAGAAGGCCGGAGGGGGTGGGGGCAGGGCCAGGCGCGATCGAGGTTAGGGTGTCAAGGCTGGGGGGCGGGCGGGTAGACAGGTGGGTGGGGTGCGCGTGGATGGGCGGGGCCACATGATTTCCCACGCTGGGCCTCTAGTAAATAAAGATGTAAGGCCCACAAAGACCAAATTGTGGTTCTGCTATTAAAGTATCCCCCAGTAATCCTTCTATAATATCCTGTGGATTTCTTAATGAAATACAGTGTCATCAGGAACTCCATTTGAGATGAAAAAGACTTAAGATCCAGAGAACACTAAAAATGACAGAAAAATGTTTATAGTTTTTAAATTAAAAAAACAACAAAACAAAATGTTCTTCTAGTAGTGTTGAATTCAAAAGCAAAGAAAGATTAATGAAACAGGGGTTAGTCTCAGACAGGAAAAAAAATGAGAAAATAAGTAAGATTAACATCTTCCTTATAAATGAAACTAGTTAAGTTCTTGTCTCAACCAAGAAAATAATTTGATTAAGGGCTAAAAAAATTACCAGTTTATGGTATGGGATTTACAGTGGAAAATAAAAAGAATTTATTGTCAGTGAGAGTTACTAAAAATGACTGAGAGTGCCCAAGAACCTCTTTCCTGAAGATCTTCTAGAATACCTATTACTCAGATATGAATTAGGATTAAAAAAATCACCCTACCACTCACCACCAACAAAAGGCAGACAATATCACAACCCAAGCTCCCTTCCAACTTTGTATTCTTTTTGTCTAGATCTACAGAGAGTCAACAGATATGACAGCTCATAAATTCATAAAGAAAATAAATTTGCAACAAGCAACAAAGTGAAGCTGAGTCAAGTAACTTAACTATAAAAATACTGCTATTTTTCAAGTTCTTCTGGTTTTTTTTTTCCCAAGAAAATATAGTTCAGTTCACTCTGTAAACTATGATTAAAAGGCATTATAAAACCCAAAAGGATACTTAATATTTAAAGTAAAGAAAGTAAGTGCTTGGAAAATTTACCAAATATTAAAGCCAATCCGTGAGCTGTACCCACTGCTATCAGACTGGACACTGCCTGAGAACAAAAGAGAGGGTTATATTTTAAGAGAGCGGAGCAAGGATCCTGGAATAAGCAGAGCTGAATTTGCTGGTCTTCCTTCCTCTAGGCAACAAATGACATACCAACTATTACAAATAAGAAGAATTTCATCTGAGAGGCAAAACAGGAAATGAAACGCAGGACATTTTATTTCTGGGACTCCCTCTAAATTTACTCTAAGGGCAATAATCTCAAACTAGTATATGTTCAACATACTAGAGAAAAGCATGACACTTAACTTCCCTAAAGCAAAAATTCAGAGGTCCAGACAAAGTAAGAGGCACTAATGCTTCCCGATCAAGAATCTGCTATGAGGTGTGGAGAAGGGATTAGAAAGCTCTTCTCCAGTTTATTCCTAGGAGCCAAAAGACACCAGAAATGTTCAAAATTCAGCCGACTTCCTCACCATTTAACTAATAAAAGAGCTACAGGAGGCAGCTGGAACTAGTCAGGAAAAGAGGGCACTAGCGTGCTCTCAATATGCCCCAGTTCTCTATTATAATCACTTCACAGATTTACTTGGTAGGCCTGGCAAGAGGGTTCAGAGCTGTTAAATGTACCATGTACCGCAAAGTGATTTTACCAAATACTGTTTTCCACTCCCTGTAACCAAAGGGAAGCCGAATCACAGAAGGAGCAAATTTACTTGGGCAGAGTAAAACCACATACAAATAAACCTGGAAAACGCTAATTATTATTCCATTGTGTGCTTGTCAAACAAAAGCCTGAAGAGTAATAATATACTAGAAAGAGAACAGTCAACAGGGATACATTTTAAATCTGGTAACTGGCAATAAGTGACTTATAAATTTATCATCACAATAACTTATGTAATAACTTTAAACATTAGAAAAATAAATCTAAGAAAACCCAATCAAATAGAAAGCTTATCTTTAAAGAATTATTTAAAGTATACTTACAATTGCTGTAGGCAACCCGGCATCTACTTTGTCCTAAATGAAATTTAGAAGAAAAAAAAATACTTGAAAAGATATTCTCATTATAAAACAGAAAATGGTATAAGGCCTTTTCTTTACATAAACTTTGATCCAAATCAATTCAGACAGGAAATAGCACCTTTGTTTTTGCCCATAAGAGAAACTACAAAAGTTGTATATACGAACAAAATATCAAGAGCAAGAGAGTAAGATCATTTTATTTTACTTACTATAACAGATGCTTCAGGAACGGTACTGATTATAAATGAAAATGTAAAGGAAAAGAGAAAGGAAAGAGGTTCCAGTCTCAATAATGTGAATAAAGTATACATACGATGGGTGAAAACAGTAAGAGTACATAAAGATTTTAGAAAAAGAAAACATACACCAAAGATATTCTTCCTCTAAGTAGGAGTTTTCTATCCAGCAGATTATGCAATACCTCCTCAATAAAACCTGAGCAAGTTATATTCAGTCAGTTCTCAAGCATAAGAAAATCAAAAATAAAGTGGTAGTTCCAGCTCCTTACCAGTAACTGTACGATCCTGGGAAAGCCACCTAACCCTTCTGGATATTAGTCACTCATCTGTTCAAGAAATAGCAAACACTGCCCTATCTATGTCACTGAGTTGTCCCAAACTAATATAAAGTATAATATAAAGTATCATATAAAGGGTATCAATTTGATGCTTCTATAGCTTTAAATACTAGTAACGGATTACAATGATTAGCACTGTAAGAGCAAAGAGCTTTCACATACATATATTACACTATTTGATTCTTAAACCTGGAGAGATAGATAAAACAGGTGGTATTATTCTGATTTTTCAAATTAAGAAAATAGAAGTTTCAAACAGTTTAACTGACTTGCCCAAGATTATTCAGCAAGTGGTAGAACCATGTCTCAAACTCAGGGTTTCTAGGTTCCAACCAGACTCTTTATATCACTTCTGCATTTCTTTTCTATCAATGTGGTCAATTGGTTATCATAATCTCTCAGAAGGAAGAATCTCTTTTATCTGACTTATTGAGTTTCCCAGGAACTAACTTAAGAAACTTGCTCCAGTGCATAGGAATATGTATGAGAAGCAATTACCAAGGTTGCTATGTACAATGTCCTGGAAGGCAGAATATACCCAACTTTGTATGGATGTGTGTGTGTAAAGCTTGCCTGGCATAATGCTCAACAATGAAGCATGCAATAAATATTTGCTAAATGATTGATTTGTGTCCCAGACAGAGAAAAAGAGTGAGATATCAGATGAAGAACATAAACGATACTCAAAATGGAACCTGAATAATGAAATTAGAAGTCAGCTGACTTTAAAAACTAAAACCCACATATGTGGAAAGCATTTTAGAGATTACAGAATTTTAGTACTGGTGTTGAACATCTTAGGGTAGTGGTTTTTAAAAAATCAGATGCGTCAGAATCACCAGGGATACCTGTAAAAATGCAGATTCCTATGCAGTACATCTGGGGTGATGCTAGAGACTCCAAGTCAGTACGTCTGGGGTGATGCCAGGAATCTGCATTTTAATAATCATTCCAGGATATTCTTACACATTACACACATTTTGCAAAAACACTGTGCTAAGGCATTTCTTTTATTGTAGGTGATCATTAAAAGAATAAATATCCTTTAAATTTTAATTTTAATTAATTTTAAATATAGTCACATGTCATATTACTTTGAAGAGGTTTCCAAAATTAAACAATGAAGTTCATAACTTTAAAAGTTTCATCTCTCCCAAGTGTTCTCCAGGCGTGGATTACAAAGCCCTGATGATCAAGGCCCCAGGCAGCCCTAATAACATCACTAACCACATGGCTAAAGGCATTACTGAACAACTATTCAGGAGAGATATCAAAAATATAACTAGCTTTACATGTTAATAAACCAACCATCACAGAAAAGCATACAATTTAAATTGAGCTGGTAATCCAGAATTAGGAAGGCAGAGTATGAAAACTGTCACAGGAAAAGCAGTTTTCATTTTAACATACCAAAGGAGCTCAGCCATAGCAATGAAATAAGAAGAGAATGCAAACACTCTGGGATTTATTAGAATTTTTTCCTCCTTTTCAAGAAAGAGGAGAAACCCTTTTAAATAACAGATTTATCTAATCATTGTTCAGTGTCTGAGTTTTTGTTCAGTCTCCATTATTCAAAATATTTTTAAAACTACACAGGTGGGTCAAATGACTGTTCTGGTTCATCTTGATTTTGAAAGGAATGAATTTCATCACCTACATAAGGATTAAATTCAGAAAACGTCATGGAAATGTAATCCTCAACAGGTGGTTCCCATTCTAGAAAATATGAGTTACTCTCCACCTAGAAAAGGAAGGACAAATGCCCAAGTTTCCTCCATTGCTTGACTATCTCTCTATTTAAATTGACTTCATGATATATGAGCTGGGTCAGGGTATACGAACTGCCCACAGAGAATACTTTTTCTTCCTTTTTTTTTTGGTATCTGCAATAAGAGCTTTAATAACCTGAAAATTGCAACGCGGTTATGGTGTCATAATGCTACTTCTGTATCAATCTCTTACTCTCCTGAAAAATCAAAACTTTGTCCACATCAAATATATAAAGTGCCAATTAAACTTCATGAAAAGAACATAAAAAACACATCGAAGTTTTTGAGGTATGAATCTGTCATCATCATTATTATCATTATTATTATATATAGGATCTATAAATTGAATTAGCAGACTAAAATTGAAAGAGTACATAAAACTATAGGCTTGGGGGGGTATCAAAGAAAAATTTGATAACACATACCGGAATCAGTGTCTATTGTCTTGGTGAACTATTAAATATTTTTGCATTAACCCAGTGCTCTAAATCATTTTCAGAAAAGACCACAGATATTCTCTTCCAGCCATTTTCCACTGGGCACATTCACCAATACCACCTCCATTTCACAACAAAGAAACACTCGACTTGGAGCCAAAAACCCCAATTTTAAGTAATTACTCTGCTCTCTCCTAACCCAATGATGTAAGGCAAGTTAATATCACCTCTCTAAACCTGACTTCTCACTTGAAAATAGGACATGGCTTTCCCTACTTTCAAAGTTCTAAGAGTAAGTAAAATAAGGTACATGAAAAGACATTGTGAATTATTTTTTTAAAAAAAGAATCACTCAGTTGTAAAAGATTCTGAACAATCATTTCTCCATATGAAAAGACTAAAAGAACAAATACTAACTCACCAAATACACAAGATGGCAACTAAACTGAAAAGGAATTTAAAGAAAAGGCAGATAGTGTTTCTTTTAGGCTTGCTGCCATATTTCATTAGGCACACCCGAGACTCTGAGCAGACCTTTATTTCATGGCCGCACTAATTTCTATGTCAAGATGTGTAGCCATGTCTTGCGAGTCAAAAATAATCACACAAAACCATGAAAGCCAGATTTTATTTTTCTTAAGCCTCGAGCCAAGAGAAGTGCTGTGCTTTGTTTTATGCTCATTCCTACTTCATTATGCCATTGCAGGTTATAAAGCTGGGGGGAGAGAACAAAATACTTACAGCTGCAGACACTATCTGAGCAGAAATTCCCTTCAAAAGTGAGTGTCGCATAACTGATCCATGGAGTGAAAAAGAATCAGGTAACCTCTTCTTCCTAAAAAGAAAAAAAAAAAAGCTTAAGAACAAAAAACAAAACTGAAAAGGCAGGGTCTCAAAGCTTTGAAAGAAACACACACGCACACACACATTAAAAACAAGAAAAGTGGAGAGGTATAAAGAGTCTAATAGTCCCACATTAAGATGTTGTATTAAACCCACATTGAACCTTAGAGAAGTCAGGCAGGAAAACGAAGAAAGCCGCAATCCTTTTTCACTGATTTAAACACTTCCATGCCCACCTTAATATAGCAAGAGGTTCTACTACTCACCAGAAGGTTGCCTATAGAGCACTCCTCCTGCCCTACATGTCTTCATCCCCTCTACCTGCCTTCTACCTTCGCCCACCTTTCTTGCCCTCCTCCTTTCTATAACCACCTTCTCATTCTTCAGCCAACCACCTCAAATTCCCCATTCACTATTCATTCTCTGCTGCTCCTACTAACAGCTCCTTTCATTTACTCTACTCATCATCATACAAAATACAATTTTTAAAACTTTTACCAAACATTGAGCACCTACTCTGTGTGACCAAAAGTATGCTCTGGAGATGCAAAAATAATCAAGTCCAGGTTCCTACTCTCAAGGACCTCATAGCCTGATGGCGAACCTATGACACGCATGTCAGAGGTGACACGCGAACTCATTTTTTTGGTTGATTTTTCTTTGTTAAATGGCACTTAAATATATAAAATAAATATAGAAAATATAAATCTTTGTTTTACTATGGTTACAAATATCAAAAAATTTCTATATGTGACACAGCACCAGAATTAAGTTAGGGTTTTTCAAAATGCTGACACGCCGAGCTCAAAAGGTTCGCCATCACTGGCCTAGCTAGAGGGACTAATAAGTAGTTCACTGGTAAATGTAAGGACAGCCCTGGTTAGTGTGGCTCAGTTGGCTGAGAGACACCATGCTCTGAGAGGTCACAGGTTCAATTCCTGGTCAGGGCACATGCCCAGTTTGTGGGCTCACTTCCCAGTAGGGGGACTGCAGGAGGCAGCCAATCAATGATTCTGTCTCACATCTATGTTTCTTTCTCTTCCTCTCCCTTACTCGCTCTCTAAAAATCAATAAAAACATATTTTTTAGAAATTCAAGGATAATGTTAGAGAAGAAAAATCAATAAAACACTATAGAAATGAAATAAATCAGAATTTAATCCTGTTTATTAGGGGAATATCAGGGACAGCTATAGAAAAGAGATGTCTAATCTGGCCTTGATGAATACCTAGGAGTCTGTGAGGCTACAAAAAAGCACAAGCAGAAATATAAAGTGTGTGGGGAGGGGAGGCGCGGTGGTCGGGGAGGGGAGAGGAATGTGAGTACACAAAATACATGAAGCAAGAGGATGGGGGAGAGATGCTTAGAGATTAGGGCAAAATGGTAAGAAGGGTCCAGACTGGTGCCATGACATTATTATATAGGCAAAAAGAAGATGCCATCTCATCAAAAACATTTAAATTATGGTGGTTTCATACAAATTTTAGGATTGTTTGTTCTATATCTGTGAAAAATACCATTGGGTTTTTGTTTTGTTTTTAATTCTCACCTGATAGTATGTTTTTATTCATTTGAGAGAAAGAGAGCGAGACAGAGATGTGAGAGCCCTGCCTGTTGTGGTTCAGTTGGCTAAGTATCATCCTGTAACCCAGAAGGTTGCTGGTTCAATTCATGGTCAGGGCACATGCCCAGTAGGAGGCAGCCAATCAATGTTTCTCTGTCACATTGATGTTTCTCTCTCTCTTTAAAATCAATGAAAACATATATAAAAAAACAAATAAATTAATAAATAAAACACTGATGTGAGAAACATAAATGGGTTGTCTCCTGTAGGTGCCCTGACCAGGAATCAAACTCGCAACCTTTTGGTGCGAGGGTGGATGCTCCAATTGACTGACCCACCCGGCCAGGGCATCATTGGGATTTTGGTAGGGATTTTATTAAATCTCTAGATGGTTTTGGGTATTATGAACATTTAACAATATTAATCTATTAACATGGGATATCTTTCCATTCATTTGTGTCTTCCTCAGTTTCTTTCATCAGTGTACAGCTCTTTCACCTCTGTGATTAAACTTATTCCTGAGTACTTTATTGTTTTTTGATGCTATTGTAAATGGAATTGTTTTATTACTTTTTCTGACATTTTGTTGTTAGTATGTAGAAATGCAAATGACCCAAATTAGCCAATGCAACCTTAGGAAAGAACAACAAAGCTAGACATTACATTTCCTGATTTCAAACTATATAACAAAGTTATAGTAATCAAAGCAGTATGGTACTGGCATGTATTCCAATGGGACAGAATTGAGAGCCCAAAAATAAATATGGGCAACTAAAATTTGACAAGGGAGCCAAGAACACTCAATGGGGAAAGAATTCTTTCTCCAATAAATAGTGTTGAGGAAACTGGATAATCATATGCAGAAGAATAAAACTATACCCCTATCTTACACCACTCACAAAAAATAAATGGATTAAAGACTTAAACATAAGACCTGAAACCATGAAACTCCTAGAAGAAAACATAGGGAAAAATCTCAACATTGGTCTTGGCAAAAAGCATTTTGGACATGACACCAAAAGCACAAGCAACAAAAGCAAATACAAATAAATGGGATTACATCAAACTAAAAAGTTTCTGCACAGCAAAAGAAATAATCAACAAAATTAAAAGGCAATCTATGGAATAGTAGAACATATTTGAAAATCATCTATCTGATAAGGGGTCAATATCCAAAATATATAAGGAACTCTTACAACTCAATATTAAAAAAATAAACAATACAAATAAAATTATGGGCAGAGGATATGAATACTATAGTAGACATTTTTCCCAAAAAGACATACAAATGGCCAACAGCTATAGTACATAAAAAGATGCTCAACCTCACTAATCATCAGCAAATACAAATCAAAGCCACAATGATATATCATCTCATACCTATTAGGATGCTATTATAAAAAAGACAAGAGATAATTGGTGGTGAGGACCTAAGAAAAAAGAAATCCTATTGGTGGGAATGAAAATGATATGGCCATTATGGAAAACAGTATGAATATTTTTCAAAAATTAAAAATAGAACTACCATATGATCCAGCAATCCCACCAAAGGAAATGAAGTCACTATATCTGCACTCCCATGTTCACTGCTGCATTTTTCACAATAGTCAATATAGGGAAACAACCCAATAGTCCATCTACAGAAAAATGGATAAAAAAGATGTGGAGGATGTGTGTGTGTGTGTGTACAATATGGAATATTATTCAGCGATGACAAAGAAAGAAATCCTGCTATTAGTGCCAAAATGATGGACACTGAGGGCATTATGCTACATGAAATAAGTCAGACAGAGAAAGGCAAATACTGTATGATCTCATATGTGGAATGTAAAAAAGCCAAACTCATAAAATAGTAGTTTCCAGGGGCTGGAGCTTGGGGGAAATGCAGAGATGTTGGCCAAAGGGTACAGACCTCCAGTTACAATATGAATAAGTTCTGGGGAATCTGATGTACAGCATGATTACTATAGCTAACAATGCTGTATATACTTGAAAGTTGCTAAGAGAGCAGATCCTAAGTGTTCTCACCACAAAAAGAAATGGCAATTATGTGAGGTGATGGAGGTGTTAACTAACCCTCTGTGGTAATCATTTCACAATATATGTATATCAAAGAATCACACTGTATACCTTTAGTCTACAGTGTTACATCTCAATTACATCTCAATAAAGCTGAAAAAGTTTTAAGTTATCTATTTATAGGAAACAGTGATGAACAGGTTAATATACCCAGCAATGGCCCCTCATCCACAAAAGCTGACAACCTAAAGAAGACAGCACTGATACAGGTGAAATTTAAGAAGAAAAGAAAAATACAGACAACTTTATCAACATTAAAGTTACACATGAATTCAATAAAGTATTTACATTATGCTTCCTCCACTTCTCTTTCCTTTTCATGTGCTCTCCAAGAATTTAGAAGGTGAAAAGCAGCCAAAATGAACTTATTTAGGGTTAAAAGTCCTTTTAACAAATCTTTAATCATCTTTGTGACTCTCCTCTGAACCCATTCCAAGGGAATGAAGGAATGTTGGAGCTGACCTTAGAGAGTGGGAAGAAGGGGGTGAGGCGTGCAGGGAACAGAAAGATGGTGAGTAAACCAAGCTCCATGTTTCTACACTGTGCCAGGTTTGATTTGTGCTCCCTTCAGGGGCTCTACTGCTTTGGGGAGTCCCTGGCTGTTATTACAGCTTCCTACTGGAGGTGCAAAAGACGGTGGTCATAGTACCCATCTTTTTATCCTCTCTCCTCAACAGTGCCAAAATCTTTAGGGCCTAATACGCATATTACTTCCACCCAAGTGGGGCTTCTACTTCCTATGCAGGGCTTCAGCAGACCATATTGCACTATAAAGAAATATTTAAATTTTAAATGATCAAATATGTCAATTATTTGCAATTGTGATTTCAATGAGTACTTACCTTTTTAAGTTGGTCCTGTCACCACTATCTGAGCTTGCCACAGATGAAGTATCATAGGAGTGAGAATCAATAGTATCAATGTTTAACAATGTAGGATCCTCAAGAACAAAGGACTCATCTTCATCATCAGTCTAAATTGAAAGAATATGGATCAATAAATTCAAAATTCCAAAAAATCTGTAAGTCAGATAGGCATTAATAGGTTTCTCCAAAACATCTGCATGCTTATTTTTGCTTTACACCTCTTTTCTACGCATTGTTATTGACCAGAGAGGCACAGTACAGAATTAAATTTCAACTCTAGATAGACATCTTTCTACAAAAAGCTCACTCCAAAAATGTCTTTCTTGTAGCAGGAAGAAGGAGCAATTATGCAGATTGTTAGCTGCAGAATATTTCTTAAAATTCAAATCTGTATAGATGTGCTTCTAGTTAACTAACAGTCAATGGCTAATTAGAAGAAAACAAATACCACCTGACTATAAATAGTGCACAATGAGAAATATGACAGGCAACACAAGAAAGGCATTATGGGTTGGGAAGAGCATGTGCAAACAGTGATTTCATAATATGGATTTTGTCCATGGAAAAAGAAGTAGTCCAAAATGACTGGAGTATATGAGGAGGAGTTGGAGGTGATGGTAGAAAGAAAAATAAACTATAACACAAATCATAAAAAAGCCTTATATCCCATTGAGCTGCATGATAGCAGAGTCCATGTCTTTCTAGTCCACCACTGTATCCCTAGTGCCTAGTACAATACCTGACACATAATCAGTACTCATTTGTTTAATGAATTAGTGTCCTATATAGAGTAGGCAGTGGGAAGGCAACTGAGATTTTTAAGTAGACACACATCATAGGAACCATGTTTTAGAAAGATAAATGGGGCAGTGTGAAGATGGATGAGGGTAGAAGGGGGAGACTGAGGCAGGGAGACTATTAAGAACCAGTAAGAAGGCTATTGGAACATCAAGGAAAGAGAGGAGTCCAGCCTAGGAATGCAACAGAAGAGATCAAGAAAAAGAATAATGACAGAGATATTACTGAGATAAAATCCTAAATTTGTGGTTATCATTTATATGGGGGGAGGGAGTTTAAGGCAGAAGTCAAAGAAGATTCCAAGGATTTCAGCTTGAGAAACTAGGCAAAAGGTGATATTACTGAGATAAGAAAGCAGAATGGCAGATAAAGCAGAATGAGGAGTTCGGCTTTGAACAAGTGGATTCTGAGCAACAGACATAAAAGAAAAATGTTCTGATCATACCTTCTCTTTTAGCTGGACTACCTTCTGCCTTACCATTTCCATTAATGTTCGTAAGAGAGCAGTCCATACTCATTATCTCTACTTTCTCCACCCATTACCAGCTACTGACAACTACCCTTGCTGAAATTAGCCAAATCCACTGGCCTATTTTCAGTTAGTATGTTCTCATCCTCTATGCCTCATTCAACACTACTGACCATTCCCTACTTGAAACTTTCTCTTCCCTTAGTTTCTAGTACATCTCTTTGCTGGTAATCCTCCAAGTTATGTGGTCTCTTCTAGCAGTCATGTTCTCTATTTTCTCCTCAGTCTAACCTTTAAATGATACTGTTCCCCAGGATTATATTCTTAGCACTCTTCCTGCTTCACTGACTATAGGAACAAGCAAATCCATATCTATAGCTTCAAGTACAATGTCATGCTAATGGCTTCAAAATCTGTATCGTCAGTTTCAACATTTCTCTTGAGGTTTAGGCTCATATTTCCAACTGCTTTTCAGATATCTCCACACACAAGTCTGCTAAGAACAGGGTTAAGGTTAGCAAGGAAACATTATGCTACTTGAGAGCTGTACAAGAATGGAACAACTGCTAGGAAAAGAGAAAGGAAATAATTCAGAAATCAGAACTATAGCGCAAAGGTCTTAAACAGGAGAGTCAATCAGAATCTTATTTGGTTTTCTTAAATACATGGGGATATAATTAAAGAAAATAGCGAAGTTAAGCCAGGGTTGAGAGCTTACAGGTTAAGTTAAAGAAAAAGTTTAACAGAAAAGTGGACAAAAGATATAAAAAGGCAATTCACAAAACAGATATCCAAATGGCCAAATATATGTCAAGGTACCCAGTTTCATCAGTCTCCAGGGAATATCAGATTTAAAAACTATGATGTGATACCACTACACACTTATACGAAGGAATGGCTAAGTGAAAAAGAGAGAAAAATTCAAAAGTTGGTAAGGATAGGGTAACCAGAACACCATATATGTGCTAAAGTATATATTATTACAACCACTTTGAAAAATCCATGGCAGTATCTACCAAGGCTGAACATACCCATATCTGATGACTCAGCAATTCTACACCTAGGTTTATATCCCATAGAAATGTGTGTCTTTATGTATGTATGTATATACAGAGCTAAAGACATGAATGAGAATATTCACAGCAGCACTTTTCATAGTAGCCAGGAAATAAAAAGTACACAAATGCCCAATAACATGAATAAATAATGGTATATACCAGTGATGGCGAACCTATGACACGCGTGTCAGAGGTGACACGCGAACTCATTTTTTTGGTTGATTTTTCTTTGTTAAATGGCACTTAAATATATAAAATAAATATAAAAAATATAAATCTTTGTTTTACTATGGTTACAAATATCAAAAAATTTCTATATGTGACACGGCACCAGAGTTAAGTTAGGGTTTTTCAAAATGCTGACATGCCGAGCTCAAAAGGTTCGCCATCACTGGTATATACATAAAAATTTTATATGGCAATGGGAATGAACAATTATATGCAAAAATATTACTAAATCTAAAGACATAATATTGAGAAAAGTAAGTCAGACACTCAAAAACACATAATGTATAATTCCATGTATATAAAGTTCAAAGCAGGCAAGCTAATCAATGGTGGTAGACGTTAGGATGGTTTGGGTGCTGAAGGGGCACAAAAGGAGCTTCTGCTGTACTAGTAATGTTTTCCTTCTTCATCTGGATTCTGGTTACATAGGGCGTTCAGTTTGTGAAAATTCACCAAGTGTACACTTATGATTTGTGCACTTTTTCTATATGTATGTTATACTTCAATAAAAAGTTCAAAAGAGCTTTCTGACAGCACAATGCAACAGTAGGATTGAAGTGAAGCCAGGACTACTCTCAGAGAATGGGAACCTAAGAAGGATCAAGAGACATGGTCTTGATGAGGTTAAAGACCAGGTTTAATGGAAGGGAGTGGAAGGGGAGGTTGTTATAGTTAGAGAATGGAATTTGAAAATTAAAAACCTCAGAGACAGCACAGTTTCAAAGGATGATAAGGCCTAGGAACATTATTTCATACCCTAAATTCTGAAATTTAGGCTGTCTCAGTAATCTCTGCCTTTCCAACCTGTGAAAATCTTGGGTGTCTATTTCTTCCCAGACTCTCTCCAGGTTGATTTTGATGAACATCTGAACCAACATATCCTAGAGCAGCGGTTCTCAACCTGTGGGTAGCGACCCCTTTGGGGGTTGAACGAACCTTTCACAGGGGTTGCCTAAGACCATCGGAAAACACATATAGAATTACATATTGTTTTTGTGATTAATCACTATGCTTTAATTATGTTCAATTTGTAACAATGAAATTGGGGGTCACCACAACATGAGGAATTGTATTAAAGGGTCGCGGTTTTAGGAAGGTTGAGAACCACTGTCCTAGAGCAAGTGCTTATTTAAACTTTCTACTTCTGCTCTTTTCATTTTTTTTCTTCTTAAAAGTCATTTCCTTTAACACATTTGCCCCCCTACAGTCTTCATAATGTTCTACAACTTAAATTACTTTTACTTTCGCTTATTTGCCTGCCTAGCTCTCTTGAGGTGTGAAGGCTGTTCAATTTCTTTTCTTTCTTTTTTTTTTACTTTTTAATAAATTTATAGAGTGACAGTTAAGAAAATTATATAGGTTTCAGGTATACAATTCTATAATACATCATCTATTTATTGTATTGTGTGTTCATCACTCCAAGTCAAGTCATCTGCCATCAACACTTATCCCCTGCCCCCTTTACCTTCTTCCCTGAGACCCTGCCCCATCCAATTTGCAACCCCTCCCAAGCTGTTTGTAGTGGCTTTTCCAAATGAATGACCTGTCCTAGCTCAGGCTTCAGACTTCCCTAAAATCTCTCAAACAAGCAGCAGCTGGCCTCAGCATGCCCCATACCTCTTACTAAGTGGTCCCAGGCCCCGCACTAGCAGCACCCTGTCTTGGTGCACAGGTTGGAATGGGCACTTCCAAGCCCAACACAAGTAGTGCCATCTGTAGGTCACGCTGTAGCTTGTGCCAGCTGGCCCCAGGCAAAGCACAGGCAGTGGTTGACTTTGCACCTCCCAGGAGCCCCTGAGACAGTGCACCCTGTGGTCAGCTTCAGACTATAGCAGATTACAACCCCACCATATCCAGGAGCAACACACTCAAGGGTTGGACTCGGTGAGCACCAAAGCCCCACTGAAGCAAGTCCTGCTCCATGGACTTGCTTGGACTTGTACAGCAGTTATTTCACTGTAGTCGCAGCTGTCCTCACAGCCAATTGGTCTGGGGGGTCAATCCCTCCCAGTGATGCCAACAGTAATCAAAGCTCAACTACAACAGGACAGTACACATAGCCACAAACAGGCAAACCTACAGTGTCCAGCTCAGGTGACTGGGGAAGCTGAGCCATTGGGAGCTAGAGGATACCTACTACACAAGCCAACTCTACCAACTCCAGGAGACAAAGCATATCTACCTCATATATAGAAACAAACACAGGGAAGCAGCCAAAATGTGCAGACAAAGAAACAGGTCGAAAATGAAAGAACAGAAGAAATCTCTAGAAAAAGAACTAAATTAAATAGAAGCAAGGAAACTGCCAGTGACAGATTTCAAAACAATGGTTATAAGGATGCTCAAGGAACTTAATGAGGACTTCAAGGAACTTAGTGAGAACATCAATGACATCAAAAAGGACCAGTTAGCCCTAACCCAGTGATGGTGAACCTTTTGAGCTTGGCGTGTCAGCATTTTGAAAAACCCTAACTTAACTTTGGTACCGTGTCACATATAGAAATTTTTTGATATTTGCAACCATAGTAAAACAAAGATTTATATTTTTTATATTTATTTTATATATTTAAGTGCCATTTAACAAAGAAAAATCAACCAAAAAAAGAGTTTGTGTGTCACTTCTGACACACATGTTATAGGTTCGCCATCACTGGCCTAACTGGTTTGGCTCAGTGGATAGAGCGTCGGCCTGTGGACCGAAAGGTCCCAGGTTCGATTCCGGTCAAGGGCATGTACCTTGGTTGCGGGCACATCCCCAGGAGGTGTGCAGGAAGCAGCTGATTGATGTTTCTCTCTCATCCATGTTTCTAACTCTCTATCCCTCTCTCTTCCTCTCTGTAAAAATCAATAAAAATACATTTTAAAAAAACAAAAAACAAAAAGGACCAGTTAGAAATGAAGGATACCCTAACTGAATTAAAAAATAATTTACAGGGATTTGACAGTAGAGTAGAGGATTACAAGAATCAAATCATCGATTTGGAATATGAAGAAGCAAAAAACACCCAATCAGAAGAGCAAGAAGAAAAAAGAATAAAAAAATATAAAGACAGTATAAGGAGTCTCTGGGACAACTTCAAGCATACCAACATTCACATCCTGGTGGTGCCAGGAGAAGAGAGGAAGCAACAAATTCAAAACCTATTTGAAAAAATAATGACAGAAAACTTCCATTATCTGGTGAAAAAAAATAGACATACAAGTCCAGGAAGCACAGAGAGTTCCAAGCAAGATGAACCCAAAGAGGCCCACAAAAGACACATCATAATTAAAATGCCAAAGGTTAAAGACAAAGAGAGAATCTTAAAAGCAGCAAGAGAAAAACAGTTACCTATAAGGGAGCACCCATACGAGTGTCAGCTAATTTCTCAACGTTGTAGGCCAGAAGAGAGTGATAAGAAATAAAGTGATGAAAAGCAAAAACGTACAACCAAGATTACTCTACCCAGCAAAGCTATCATTTAGAATTTAACACATTGTTTGCAGGTAGTTTTTATCGCACGCTAACAGGTGGCGCGGGCCATTTTTGCTAATTTTTTGCGCAAATGGCAACATTCAATAAAATTACGATAACTTTAGTTTACATATTTATACGTTACCCACATTCTACCGCTAGTCTATAAAAAACATATTAATACGTGTCCCGCGCTCTACTACACTGGTAGAACATATAAATACTTAAAACGTATAAATAAGTTTCCCACATACAATGTGTTAAGTCAGATAAAGAGTTTTAGAAACAAGAAAAAGCTAAAGGACCTCATCTCCACCAAACCAGTATTACATAAAATGCTAAAGAGTCTTCTTTAAGAAGAAGGTCAAAAATATGAATAATAAAATGGCAATAAATACGTATCTATCAACAATTGAATCTAAAAATCAAAATAAACGAACAAGGAGTCTAATGAACAAAATAAACTGGTGAATAAAATTGAACCAGAGACCTGGAAACATGGAACAGACTGACAAATCTCAGAGGGAAGACTGAGTGTGTGTGTGTGTGTGTGCGCGCGCGCGGCGGGGGTTGGAGGGGAGATTCACCAAAGAACTTATATGCATACATGCATTTCCCATGGACATAAACAATAAATAGGGTGATGAAGGCCTGGGACAGGGTGGGATTTAGGTGGAGTGATGCAATGGGGGGGCGGGGGGGCAGTGCAATGGGAGGGGACATCTGTAATGCTCTCAACAATAAAAAGTTTTTTTTTAAAGTAACAGCAATATCAACTAATATAAAAATAGAAATAAAAGTCATGTGAGTAAAATGAAAGCTACAATTCACAAAGAAAGTAGTTCCCATCCTATAATAAAGTGTTGGCTATTACCCTAAAAGCAGTATACGGAAAGAAGTAATAAAGACCAAGGCCCAACTCACTCAGAGCTGTGGGACCAGTGGGCATTTCTGCTGGGGAAACTTTGCATCATTATCTTTTAGAAAATACAACCAAGGATCTGAAATAGATTTATACATTAAAAAATAGAAGCTAAAACCTTCAAGGGAAGTCTTAAGTAAGTTTGTAAAAGATCAAGAAGACTGAGTTGAAGAATTGTCAGCAGATGCAGGGTATAGTTCACAAACATGTACTTCCACAAAGTTCCTTTACAAAGTCTTTATATCGCTAATTCAGAAAAGGATAACATCATTTCAAAAGTCTGAGAAACTTTTTAATAGAGATAGTACTCATAAGATAAATTATGGAGGTTGCTTTTTCTTTATATAGAAGGATGATGAGGCACATTGCAAGGCTGCAGATGCTCTTTAGTATCAGAGGATGAGCTATTTGAATATCACTGGTAGCGATAATGTTATCATAATGTTATCATGTTAACATAATACAAATCTCAAAAGTGACATGAGTTTAGTATTTCAACTCACTTAATAAAACATTTTTTTTAAATCTACCAAGTAGGAGGCATTGTACTGGGCACAAAGATGACCAAGACATGGCTTCTGCCCTTAAAAAGCTCACAATCTAGATCAGCACTGTCCAACAGAACTTTCTGCAAAGATAGAAATAGTTTGCATCTCTGCTGTTCACTACAGTAACCACTAGCTACATGTGGATTACTGAGCACTTGAAATGTGTCTTGTACAACTGAGGAATTAAATTTTTAATTCTTGTTTAACTGTAATTAATGTAAATTTAAAATGCCACATGTGGCTAGTGGTTCCCACATTGGACAGTGCAGATATTGATATATACTAGTATACTATAACTAATCTAGTAGTATTATAATCAATACCATAAAATGATCACTAATATATACTTACCTCATTTAGTATGCTTTCCAATGTTGGAGGAGTATCAACTTGAGGAATATCAAACTCCTTGTCATCAATCTAAATAGAGAAAAGAAATTAATGCTCACACAATGATGCTTTCCCTCTTACAATCATGTGTTTTAATTAATTTTTAACCATTAATTAAGAGACACACATACTACCAAACTGATCACACAGAAAGCAACTCAGTAAAAATCCATGGTAATAAGGATCAGGTCAAAAGACTACAGAATTGTTTCCTTTCCAATCCACCTATCAGTGATTATAAAGACAAATAATGCACTGACTGCACCATCCTAACAGCCCTTTCCAGAAAGCTTCTGTTGAAGGACTTTGGCATCTGCTTTCTTAGATATGACAAAACAGCATGTTTTATGACAATCCCTAATTTTCGAGGTTTAGACATAAGTCATATAAGCTATATATACAAAGGTCTGACATTGCATTTGTTAGTCATTTCGTAAATGATGGTGAGATTAACTAGGTCAAACAATTTGTCATTAAATACTCTCATGGGGGGGGGGGGAATTATCTATGTAAGAATTCTAAACCTACCACTAGCTCTATGATCTTAAGTCGTTTAATATAGTGGCACTTCAGTTTCTTCTTTTATAAAATGGATTGTCAGAGTACTGTAAAGCTCAAATGAGAACATGTAATAAAGTATTTCATAAACTAAAATGAACTATACAAATGAAGAGTGATAGTATCTCATAAAACTGTATACAGACTCTTATTAATCCATGCAAAAATGATAGATTTAAAGTCTTTGATTATAAAGTACAGTCTAATCAACATTCCTGTCAAATTCATCACTTAACAAAAGTTGAATTTACCAGATCATTTTTGAACTCCAGTTCCTTGTCCAGATCTATGTAGGAGAATTTCGAAAGTGAAGCTTCTAGACTGAAAGATTTATTCAGTTCTTCTTCAGTAGTCTTGGCACAGAGGCTCTGTTCCACATTTTCATGGTCTGGTTCATTTTCCATATTTACTTGTAAGAACTGTATTCAGTCAATCCAAGCAAGTTATTATTTGTTTGTTTTTTTGGCCTTAAATCATGATGACCTGAATGATTATCTCTTTTCAAAAAAGAAAATAATATGTTATTTAGATTTCCTCAACTGGACATTCTGAAGACTTACTTGGTCAGACTTTTGGGAAACTTAATCATCTTGAATATAGGCAAAGGGAAATCAAAACTGGGATATGAGGTATGATATGGAGCTGGGTTTCTATGGGAGCATAAAGGAAGAACATCTAACTGAGGAGTCTAGGAAGGGACCCACCACCCGAAGTCATAAGTCTGGTGATAGTGACAGACTTGGGATAAACACAGTCAAAGACCTGGTATTAATTAGATTTATGTTCCTAAGAGCATAAGGACAAACTGGTGCCAGAAGCTACAATTAACCCTTTCATCACATTCTTAAACCTCAGAGTAGATCTCCAGTTCCTCTGTAGATTAGCATATAGACCAAGTTTTTCACTGGCATCTATACAGGGCCACAGATCCCTCAGGGAGCCTTGGGTAGACACAAAGAGCACAAAATGAATAGCTAGTCACTTAATATGATACTAGTAAAGCAAAGGGTTAAGATCTCTCAGGGTAGGTAACAATTTTGCTGAAATAAAATAATTCCACAACCAACTAGAGATTTCTAGAAAGAAAGCCAGTCATACAGAAACATGGACATTTTCAGGGGAAACTGAAATACTTTTTTAAAAAAAAGTGTGCACTTTTTTTTTTTGTAGATTTCACAGCGCTAAATAATACAATGCTATATCAAAAAGAAACAGATGGCCAGGCTGGCGTGGCTCAGTGGTTGAGCGTCAACTTATGAACCAGGAGGTCACGGTTCAATTCCCAGACAGGGCACATGCCTGGGTTGTGGGCTTAATCCCCAGTAGGGAGCGTGCAGGAGACAGCCAATCAATGATTCTTGTTCATCACTGATGTTTCTATCTCTCTCTCCCGCTCTGAAATCAATAAAAATATATTTTTTAAAAAAGAAACAGATAATTTTGTTTATTCACAAAATTGTCTAGCACGCAATTATCTGCAAAATTTCTAGAATACTAAAAATATAGCCAGGAAAAAGTAATTATAGGTGTAGAGATTAAATTTACTTTTAAATGTTTTTAGTTTATGTTATAATTAGACTTCAATTGACCAAACTTTTAAAAATCCATCACTTAGCTCTACCTGCTTAGAATAAAGAAATAAAAATATGAAAACAGAAACAATGCCATAGTAATAATGATAATAAAAACAACTCTCCCCACCAAACTCCTCTTACTCTTACTCTTGCCTTCACGTTAGTGAAGTAAAGGCAAAAGAAAAAAAAAAGAGCTGACAACCGCTGAGCCATTGAAAGAGCTAATGTTTTAAAGGGAATAGAGCATGTTGTTATTTTTTAAATACATAACATGCCCAAAATACAAAATGTTATCTAACTGGGCTCATTTTTTTGTTTAATTAGGCTCATTTTTTATTTATTTTATTTTTTCCATCACCATTAATTCCCCATTTTCCCATACTTACAATTAATTTCACTTCCTTCAGTGTTTCAGTTTTGTCACACTAAAAAAATTAATATCTACTATGTGTATGACTCATGAAGACTGTTTTTTTAAGGGCTGAAACCAATTTTTTCTAGCTAGTACATTTGGCATATTATCAAATACAGACTAATTTCTTTCACATGCCACAGAAGATAGACTCTAAGGCTTTTATAAAACACATGCTATTAAATATATTCCTAAAAGACATAATTGAGGGTACTCTGTATCTGGCAACATTAGAAAGTATCCTTCCAATCTCAGTTACTAAATGTACTGCTTCTTTTGCAATGAGCCAAATATGGTAGCAATATTAGCAATATTATATGCCTTTCTTCAAAGAAAACTGAGCTAGCTCATGAAAAGTTACTTCTTAATAAAGTTCACTCTTGTTTGTACTACTTAGCAAAAATTATTACAATTAGTCAAAGAATGTTTGCAAACATGCACAATTAAATTTATATTCAGTGATTCCTCAGGAAAGTTACTGAGATTTATTCATATGTGTATACTAGAGGCCCAGTGTACAAAATTCGTACATGGGGGGGGGGGGGAGATGGAGGTCCCTCAGCCTGGCCTACACCCTCTCACAATCCAAAACCGCTGGCTCCTAATCGCTTGCCTGCCTGCCTGATTGCCCCTAACCACTCGCCTGCCTGCTTGATCGCCCCTAACCACTCACCTGCCTGCCTGATCACCCCTAACTGCCTCTGCCTGCCTGCCTGATCACCCCTAACCACTCTGCCTGCCTGCCTGATTGCCCCTAACTGCTCACCTGACTGCCTGCCTGATCGCCCCTAACCGCTTGCCTGCTTGCCTGATCACCCCTAACCACTCTGCTTGGCTGCCTGATTGCCCCTAACCACTTGCCAGCCTGTCTGATCACCCCTAACCACTCTGCCTGCCTGATCACAACTGCTCACCTGTCTGCCTGATCACCCCTAACTGCTCGTCTGCCTGCCTGACCGCCCCTAACCGCCTCTGCCTCTACCCCAACCCCCACTGCCACAGCTTCATCTGGAAGGACATCGGAAGGTCATTCAGCTGTCCAGTCGAATTAGCATATTACGCTTTTATTATTATAGAAACACGCACTTAAATAGTAGAAAAGACCATAGAGAAAAAAAGAAAGCTTTTATATAACCTACAATGTTTCATTCTTCGCATTTGTCTTTCTAAAATAACTGAGAAAAGAGAACAACTTTTTTCTAGCTCTTTTGATATCTCCTACCTGGAATTAGAGGCTCACAGAACTGCTCAGTCAGCATCTCTGAACACCAATAAAAGAACATCGTCCTGCCATGCTACCCTACTTCATTTCCAACCTTCACCTCACTGAGCTCCGGTGATTGATGTGATGTGGTAGCAAAGTGAAAAGAACACAAGTCAAAGGGTCAATTAAAATCAGTCTTGAATCTAGACTTTACCAGTTCCTATCGATAACCTTGGTCAATCTGTCTATCCTTTTGGAGCCTGTCTATTTCTACATCTGTAAGATGAACTTTACTGAGGCTCTTTGTGTTCTTTACACAGAGCAGCACCCCTTGTTCTGAAAAGGGCTCCTTCAAACCATGTGGTTCTCGTGGAGGCTGACAATCAAAAATCTCAGAGGAAAGGCATGGGAGGGTAGATGGGTGGATGGGATAAGATCAACCAAAGAACTTGTATGCATATATGCATAACCCATGGACACAGACAATAGGAGGTGAAGGCCTGGAGCAGAGCAGGCTAGAAGGGATCAATGGGGGGTTGGGGGGGGGGGGACATTTGTAATACTTTCAATAAAGATTTAATTTAAAAAATTAAAATAAAATAAAAAATTTTAAATCCCCTAGTAATAGAGATTGCCTAAAGTAACCAGAGTCCTTCACCAGGATTCATTAAAATAGAACTGGTGAGAAAGATCCACTGCCATTGTTCTCTAACCCAGTGGTTCTCAACCTTCTGGCCCTTTAAATACAGTTCCTCATGTTGTGACTCAACCATAAAATTATTTTCGTTGCTACTTCATAACTGTAATGTTGCTACTGTTATGAATCGTAATGTAAATATCTGATATGCAGGATGGTCTTAGGCGACCCCTGTGAAAGGGTCGTTCAACCACCAAAGGGGTCGCGACCCACAGGTTGAGAACCGCTGCTTTAAACAATGAGTAATAAGGCTGGGCAGCACCTCTCCCTGCCTCACCCTATTCTGCAGAAAAGGAGATCATTTATTCAGTACATATCAACCAAACACCTACTATGCATCTGTTACTGGAAATCTACCTCTACAGACACAATTTACATTCTAGGTTCAGATTCTCTAGCAAGAATTAAATCAACCCACAAACACAAGCTGGAAAGAAGAGGAAAGAGTGTCCTAATATCATTAAAGTCGCAAGTTTCCAATTTTCTATGAAGTTAGCTCTGGAAGTTTGGATATATAAGCCAAAATACTCTCCCAATTTTCTTTTTTTGGTCACTTACAATTGAGAGTCCTGACTCCTAGGAATGCAATTACCTATTTTGTAAGAATAAATGATACAGTGACTGTAAAACATTTAAAATAATGCTTAGACACAGAATAGGCTTTCAAGAAATATTAGCTATTATCATTTAAAATTTCCTCAAAAATATCCAAATTCTTTTAAAGTTAAAGACCCTGAAACAAGAGCCAGTATTTTGTTATGATGTAGCCCACACTAAGCTATCAAAAGAATACCTTATCAGAAGGATATGCTTCTAATATAATATTAGAAGTTTATTCATGAGATGAGTTGTGGGGTTTTGCCTAAGACTAGCACAGCCTCCAGCAAAGTGATACGCACACTTAATAAAAACTTAATTATGATAAGTATCTTATAATACTAACTCATTCTAAAATTATGCCTTTTTTTACATCAACGTCCTCTTTTGTCACTAACCAGCAGTTTTTCCTTTCTTTATGTCAATAAATGTTTCCAGCCCAAATACTAGTAGACCTGCTAAATCGAAAGATCACAATGCTCATTTTTTTCCAAAAAAAGAGTTCACCAGAGCAGCTTCTATAAACTTTTTAGAAACTGAGTGTGCCTGAACCTACCTGTCATAGGCAGAATAACAGTGCCCAGTGATGCCCTTTCTAATCCCCAGAACCTCTGACTGTTACGTGTCAAAAGGGATCAGCAGTTTTGATTAAATTCGGATTTTGAGTTGGGATATTTTCCTGGATTATCTGGTGGGCCCAATGGAATCACAAGGGTCTTTAGCGGTGGAAAAGGGAGGCAGAAGAATGTCAGAGGACGAGATGTGACAACAGAAGATGCTATATTGTAGGCTTTGAAGATGAAGGAAGGGTGCCAGAAGACAAGGAATTCACTCAGTCTTTAGAAGCTGCAAAAGACAAGTAGGGGATTCGCTCCTGTGGCAGAAGAACCCAGCCCTGCCACAGCTTGAATTTAGCCTACGAAGACTGGTGCTGGATTTGTGAATCACAGAACTGGACAGTAATAAATCTATGTTTTAAGCTACTATATTTGTGGCAATTTGTCACATTAACAATAGGGAACAAATATACTAACAAATTTCAATTATTTGTTAGTAACATCTTCAACATTCTGAAATACTAACCCCTCCCTTGTTACTTGGTGTTGCCCAAATATTCATTGAGCAAGCTTTTCATTTCAATATGCAGAACAATGGTGAAATGCTTAATATATGACACTTAATATTACACACTTGATGCTGATACTGTCTTCAGAAAACACTTAAGTGCTATCTCAGTGCGGAGGTTGGCAGTAAACTACTGATAATTTCCTCTTGAAATACAATTCTACAACTAGTTCTTCACCTAATCATTGGGTAATCTAGTGTTTTTATCATTCTTAAGGCAATGCAATGCCAGACAGTTTCTGCAGACAACATGACAGGTAACCTCAATTGTCTTAGTCTCTCCCAGAACGAAGTCAAATTAATATGACAGGAAATGTATGTCACAGAATCATGATCTCATGATCACCCAGTATGTTGTCCTCTTCTCAGTGCTGATAAACTAATATTTTAATAGTTCAGACTTAAAATTATCTGACACCTTGGGAGCTCATACAACTTAACAAAAGGAAGATAAACAATCTAATCAAAAATGGGCAAAGGACCTAAATAGACACTTTTCAAAAGTGGACATACAGAAAGCCAAGAGACATATGAAAAAATGCTCAAAGTCACTAATCATCCAAGAGATGCAAATCAAAACAACAATGAGGTACCATCTCACACCTGTCAGAATGGCTATCATCAACAAATCAACAAACCACAAGTGTTGGTAAGGATGTGGAGAAAAAGGAACTCTCATATACTGCTGGTGGGAATGCAGACTGGTGCAGCCACTATGGAAAACAGCACGGAGTTTCCTCAAAAAATTAAAAATGGAACTCTCATTTGACCCAGTAATCCCACTTCTAGGAATATATCCCAAGAAATCAGAAACACCAGTCAGAAAGAATATATATACCCCTATGTTCATAGCAACACAATTTACAATAGCTAAGACTTAGAAACAGCCAAAGTGCCCATCAGCAGATGAGTGGATTAAAAAACAGTGGTACATCTACACAATGGAATACTATCCTGCTGTAAAAAAAGAAAGAACTCTTACCATTTGCAACAGCAAGGATGGACCTGGAGAGCATTATGCTAAGCGAAATAAGCCAGTCGGAGAAAGATAAATATCACATGCTCTAACTCATTTGTGGAATATAATGAAAAACATAAACTGATGAACAAAAATAGATGGAGACATAGAAGCATTGATCAGACAGTCAAACCTCAGAGAGAAGGCAAGTGAGGGTGGGAGGGGGAATGGTAAGAGATCAACCAAAGAACCTGTATGCATGCATATAAGCATAACCAATGGACACAGACAAGGGGGTGCGGGGGCTGGGCTGGGGGACAGGAGCAGGTGGGGAGAGGTCAATGGGGGAAAAAGGAGACATATGTAATACTTTCAAAAATAAAGAATTTAAATAAATAAATAATAAAAGATTATCAGACACCTTGATAGTTCCTAAGGTTGTTCCCTCTTAATTAATAAGGTTCTTCCCAACTAATTAATAATAGATTCAAGGACCATTAAATATATATATACATATAAATAATATAAACAGCAATGGCCCCATTATGACATTGGCCAACTGAATAATAACTCTAGAATGTGACCTAGATTAGGACAGGTTAATGTGGAACTCTTTCAACAGTTTTGTTGTTGTTGTTGTTGTTTGCTTGTTTTTTTACTTTGGCAAACATTCCCAACTGTTATCAAGTGCCAGGATCCTAGAACTTTTCACATTACAGTGAAATCAAATCAAGTGTGTGGTTTTGTTTTTTAATTTACTGTATCCCAGAAAACTATCACAAAACCATGATATGCAAACAAGTTTACATGCCAACTTTGTTTCTAGCTTTCCCAATCCAAGTTTTTTTCTTCCATTTACTTCTTTGTTTTGCTTTGTCTTCTTGTGGTTTTGTAAAAAAAAAAAATACAATAGAGGATTAACTTCTGTTAGTTTTCTACTGTATTTCTTGGGTAAATGGACTCATTTTTTTTTTCTCAATGTCTCCCCATTCACAATACAGACCAGGCAAAGAGCCTGAGCTGAGGTGTATATGGGGTAAGTTTACTCTGCCTCCTATTTCTGTACAGTCAGTGTAAGAACACAGCCTGTGGTAAGCACCAGGAGGCCTAGACTCATTTTTAAGAGCTCCCCAATGCCTACAGGATAAAATTCCTAATTCTAAGCCTATGATTCCAGACATCACATGAGCTGGCCCTACTTTCCCTTACAACTAAACTCGCTATTTGAATTCAGTGCTTCAAGAATAGCTTCCACTTTCTCTCCATGTCTACTCACTCTACTTGACCTTCCCTTTCCTTTTCTTCTAAAATTTATCTAAGTTCCTTCTTTCCTTCCTCCTTCTAGACAACTTCCTTCCCCCAAGCATCCTCTAAATCCAGAATGCATATCTTCTTTAGAACAGTGCCATGCCACTTTCCTCATATTGATTCATTAGTTAGCGTACCATGTGACTATGTCTTTTCTCCCCAGCTATACAATAAAAGTGGGACCATGCTTCTTTGTATACTCCACATCACCGGGCTCACTGACTTGCTTAGCTATGTAAACATTCAATAAATATTTGCTGATTAACACAGAAACTGGAAGATGGGAAAACACCTGTCTTACAAATTAAATACATGTTTTATTACCTGTAACTGCTAAGCTTCAGAGGATACTGTCTCACAGATTATAGGAATCTATGCCTTAATAAGCCAAGTTATAACTGAGTTCTACCTTTATTTATTCAGCCTTATCAACTACTGCTGATCATATTCATCCTTCAGATAACAGCTAAAACTTTGATTCCTAAAAGAACCTTTTTTGTCCTGCTCAACTACCAGGTAGACTAGGTCCCCTGTTAATATGTACTTATATTTTTCTCTTTTATTACACTAACTAGAGGCCTGATGCATGAAAATCATGCAAGAGTAGGCCTTCCTTCCCCTGGCTGCCGGCACCAGCTTCCCTCTTGCACCTAGGACCTGAGCTTCCCCAAGCTTCTTTCCGGCAGGCACCCAGGACCCAGGCTTCCCTGCAGCCGCCAGCAGGCAATCGGGACCTGGGCTTCCCTCACAGCCCCGGCTTCATCAGGAAGGTCGTCCAGAAGGATGTCCGGTCTAATTAGCATATTACACTTTTATTATATAGGATTATGTCACAATCATTTTTTCAGTGTCTGAACCACCATTCCCTTCCCTCTATTGGAATGCAGATTCCAGGAGAGCAAAGATCTGTCTTTTTCACCATTGTATTTCCAATGCCTAATTCCAATGCCTAATCAACCCACCAATGCAGCCAGCCAGTCATCCCTACCCTCCTTCCCTACATACTAGTAAACAGCCAAGCAACACTTCATTACTGGTTTCCAGAGCTTCAAACAGCAGTTCTGGTCATTTAAAATAAGATGTGGTTAGTTGTTCTACCCCAAAAAGCCTCCCACCTTGCAAGTTCCATTCTTTATATCTAGGTGAGATTTTTTTTAAATCCATAACACTGATTTTATCTTTTAGTGAACATTTTGCTCATGTGTAACATGACACAAACTCCACAAATTCAGATGTTTCATGTTCTTTTACATTAATTCAGCCTATAAGCCAAGATGAAAACAGTGAAAATGTATCATATATCCATTCAATTTATAGGAACTCATCTATTATCTTTAACAAAGAGAAAGAGAGAAAAAGAAATGATTCACAAAGAGCCAGGGACTCTGTATACTGTTCCACTCAATAACTACGTGCTTCAGAGTGAGCCTGGGAGAGGAAATGGATTATCTGCTGTCCTTTGGTCAGTCTCAGTTTTTGCATGCACAAGCAATCAATTTCATCTGTGCTCAAAATAGCAAACAGCATGCTCTTCCAACATGGAGCAAAAACTGGCTGTGTTGAACTTCCTGAGAGATCCTGTGTCAATCTCCAACATGACTCTTTCCCAGGGTACTTTGAAGGTACTCAATTTTCAAGAGTACTCAGTTTCACCTGAGAAGCAGGCCCTGTGTTAGATGCAATGCTACTCTATACTGAGATGAGCTGCTTACCTGACCCCTGAGTTTCTTTCCAAGAATTGGCACATGTAGGTAACTACGACCCACAGTGCTTAGAGCTGTCACTATGAAAATGCCCAGAAGGCTGTTTCTTTTTCTCTTCTCTTGGTAAATGTCTAAATGAGAAGAGTGGTCATTTAAAACTTAGGAGGTACATACAGAACAACAAATATTAAAAAGAAAAGTGAAGGAAAGGAAGAGTGCTTGACATGGAACATTCTCAAAGAATTCATATGTTTGGGACACAAAACTAGCCTAAACAAATTTAAGAAGATTTAAATCATACCAAGCATATTCTCCAACCACAACGCTTTGAAATCTGAAATCAAATGCAAGAAGAAAGCTGGAAAACCCACAAATATGTGAAGATTAAACAACATGTTACTGACCAGTGACTAGGTCAAAGAATAATAAAAGAGGAGATCAAAAGATACATAGAGACAAATGAGAATGACAATAGCATATATCAAAATTTTTTGAATGCAGCAAAAGTGGTGGTAAGAGGGAAGTTTACAGCATTACAGGCCTACCTCAAGAAAAATCTCAAACAACCTAACATTTCACCTCAAAGAACTAGAAAAAGAACAAAACAATCCCAAAGTCAACAAAAGGAAGGAAAGTAATAAAAATGAGGGCAGAATTAAACAAAATAGAGAACAAAAAGACAAAAGAAAAAAAATAATGCAATAAAGACTGGTTCTTTGAAAATATAAATAAAACTGACATCTCTAGCTAGATTTACTAAGGAAAAAAGAGAAAACACCCAAATAAACATCAGACATGAAAGAGAAATTACAATGGACACTACAAAAATACAAAACACTACACAAGAATAATATTAAAAGCTATACACCACCAAAATTGATAACTTAGAAGAAATAAACAAGTTCTTAGAAATATATAACACTAGAGCAGTGGTTCTCAATCTTCTGGCCCTTTAAATACAGTTCCTCATGTTGTGACCCAACCATAAAATTATTTTCGTTGCTACTTCATAACTGTAATGTTGCTACTGTTATGAATCGTAATGTAAATATCTGATATGCAGGATGGTCTTAGGCGACCCCTATGAAAGGGTGGTTCGACCGCCAAAGGGGTCGCGACCCACAGGTTGAGAACCTCTGCATTAGAGCCCTGGTGCACAAATTTGTGTACAGATGGGGTCCCTTGGAGTGGCCTGGGGGGATCGGGCCTCAGCTTGCGCCCCCAACCTCACAGCCCCACAGCTTCACCTGGCACCACCCCCTCACCTGCTCCACCATCCCGCCATGTTCCACACCACCCCCTGGTTTTAGAAAAATAGGAAAGCCACATGCAAAAGAATGAAACGACTGCTATTTGACACCATACACAAAAATAAATTCAAAATGGATTAAAGACTTAAATATAAGACCTGAAACAATAAAATACATAGAAGAAGAGATAGGTACTAAACTTATGGACCTTGGTCTCTGAGTGGATTTTATACTAGTAAACTTGACTCCAAAGACAAAAAAAAAAAAAAGGTTGGACTAAAAAGCTTAGAGACAAAAAGAAACCTTCAACAAAACAAAAAGGCAACCAACCAAGTGGAAAACCTCCTGTAAGGGGCTAATATCCAAAATATATAAAGAATTCATACAACTCAATGATAAAAATAAAACACACAAAAAAAATCAAACTAACCAGTTTGGCTCACTGAACAGAGCGCTGGCCTGTGGACTGAAGGGTCCCAGGTTCGATTCCAGTCAAGGGCATGTACCTTGGTTGTGGGCACATCCCCAGTAGGGAGTGTGCAGGAAGCAGCTGATCGATGTTTCTCTCATCGATGTTTCTAACTCTCTATCCCTCTCCCCTCTGTAAAAAATCAATAATATATTAAAAAAATAAAATAAAATATGAGCAGAGAACCTGAACATTTTTCCCAAAAAGACATACAAATGGGCAATGATACATGGAAAGATGTTCAACTCCACTAGCTATAAGGGAAAACAAATCAAAACCACAATGAGACACCATCTCACAAATGTTAGAATGGCTATTATCAATAAGACAAGAAATAACAACTGTTGCAGAGGATGTGGAGAAAAAGGAACTCTCATACACTGCTATAAATTAGTACAGCCACTATGGAAAGCAATATGAAGATTTCTCCCCAAAATTAAAAATAGAACTACCATATGGCCCAGCAATCTCTTTTCTGTGTATCTACCTGAACATTTTGAAAACATCCTATATAATAAAAACCTAATATGCTAAGTGTCTGGTCAGCTGGTCAGCAGTTCGACCAATCAAAGCGTAATATGCTAATGATATGCTAAGGCTGCTCAACTGCTCACTATGACATGCACTGACCACCAGGGGGCAGACGCTTTGACCAGTAGGTTAGCTTGCTGCTGGGGTCTGGCGGATCAGGACTGAGCGAGATGGGCTGGGCGTGCCCTGGAGCCCTCCCACAGTCCCTCCCCGGATGGTCAACCTCCTGTGTCCCTCCCCGGCCCCTATCATGCACCACTGGGATCCCTCAGCCAGGCCTGCAGCCTCTCACAATCCAGGACCTTTCGGGGGATGTCGGAGAGCCGGATTCAGCCCAATCCCACAGGCCAGGCCGAGGGACCCCACTGGTGCACGAATTTGTGCACCAGGCCTCTAGTTTATCCATAAAGATATAAGGACCCCTATGTTCAATGCAGCGTTATACATGGTATACAAGATATGGAAAAAAACTAAGTGTTGTTCAATGAAAGACTGGATAAAGAAGATTCTATTATATACATAATAGAATACTACTCAGCCATAAGGATGAATTACTTCCAGTTGTGACAACATGAATGGATCCTGAGAGTATCGTGCTAAGCAAAATAAGTTAGATGGAAAAAGACAAGAGCCGTATGATTTCAATAATATGTGGGATATCAAACAGAAAGCAACAACAAACAAATAATTCAGAAATACAGACAACAGAGGGTGGTTACCAGAGGGAAAAGGAGGTGGGGGAAGAATGAAGAGTGCAAAGGAGGTCAAATATATGGTGACAGAGGGAGACTAGACTGGGTGGTGACATAATGCAATATATAGATGATGTATTATAAAACTACACACTTGAAATTTATACAGTGTAATTAACCAATGTCACCCAAATAAATTTAATTTAAAAAATAAATGACATTTTTAAAGAAGGAGCCTGGGCCAATGTAGTCCCAACCACCTAAAGGTCCTGGATTTGATTTCCGGTCAGGGCACATAGCCAGTTTGCAGGTTCAATTCCCAGTCAGGGTGTGTATGGAAGGCAACCATTTGCTGTTTCTCTCTCACATAAATGTTTTCTCTCTCTCGTTCCACCCCCCTCTTCCCTCTCTCTAGAACAGCTGTTCTCAACCTGTGAGTCGCAACCCCTTTGGGGGTCAAACGAACCTTTCACAGGGGTCGCCTAAGACCATCGGAAAACACATATATAATTACATATTGTTTTTGTGATTAATCACTATGCTTTAATTATGTTCAATTTGTAACAATGAAATTGGGGGTCACCACAATATGAGGAACTGTATTAAAGGGTCGCAGCATTAGGAAGGTTGAGAACCACCACTCTAGAATCAATGAAAAACATATCCTTGGGTGAGGATTTAAAAAAAGAGTGCCTCCCTAACCAGTTTTGCTCAGTGGATAGAGCATCGGCCTGCGGACTCAAGGGTCCCAGGTACAATTCCGGTCAAGGGCATGTACCTTGGTTGTGGGCATATCCTCAGTAGGGGGTGTGCAGGAAGCAGCTGATCGATGTTTCTCTATGTTTCTAACTATTCCTCTCCCCTCCTCTCTGTAAAAAATCAATAAAATATATTTTTAAAAAATAAAATAAAAAATAAAAAAAGAGTACCTGAGACCTGCCGAAACCGGTTTGGCTCAGTGGATAGAGCGTCGGCCTGCAGACTGAGGGGTCCCAGGTTCGATTCCGGTCAAGGGCATGTACCTGGGCTGCGGGCACATCCCCAGTGGGAGATGTGCAGGAGGCAGCTGATCGATGTTTCTCTCCCATCGATGTTTCTAACTCTCTATCTCTCTCCCTTCCTCTCTGTAAAAAATCAATAAAATATACTTAAAAAAAAAAAAAAGAGTGCCTGAGACCTGCCTGCCTGCGTATGGTGCTAAATTACTACTATAAACTGTCAGACACAACTCTTTTTTTTTTTTTTTAACTTCTTATAGCCATTTTCAGGGACCTTAATGACTTCAATGTCTTTAAGGCTCGTAACATGGCCTTACTATAGCCAGCTTTCTCTAAATTTCTGCAGAACACACAGACACAACTCTTAATAGCCCCATTCTAGAAAACAAAAATCTAAATCCCATTTAACAAATACAAAACAAGAAGAACTAAGTCTAAAATAGCTATTATGTATAAACCCTAACATTATTCATCAGCTTTATATCAATGTGTTTGAGGCAATAAGTAAAATGAATGAAAGAGAAAAAGTATCACTTCTTTCCAGCTTCTAAGAAGTCCCCCACTATTATGTTAATCTCAATCAAAGACTCACCCCAACCTCAGAGAACTCCTCCTAAGAAGCACATGAACCTTGTGTAAGCTGAAATATATTATTTTTTCTTCCTTCACTAAACTGGTCTGGGTGAAAAGTTAAATTCACAGAAGGTAGGATTCCACTCAATTGTAGACTGAGTAGATGGTGGCCTTCCCACTCATCTTAATTAACTACCAATTAACTGTCACCTCAGGTTGTCTTGGTAAGGTGTCAAGGAGGATGCACACGAGATTTATTTTTATTTTTTAAAAGAGCAAGAGGAGGCTTCTTGCTCAACTGCAGAGGGAAAGACCAACTTGATTATGGTTCAAACATCCCAGTACCTGCACCACCTTCCCTCTGGAAAACTGCCCCTCCTTCACTCCCACCAAGTAATTGGTGGTGCTGCCAATCGAATACCATATCTGCCTAGCCAGAAGAGCAGGCAGAGGACATTCTTATGTCCAATTTGGCCAAGCAGTGGTTTTGTAAATACTGAAGGTAGGAGTTTTCTCTTTACTCTGGGTGCTTGGAAACTGGAAAGATGTAACCCGGGAGCTGTTATACAGAGTGGAGATCATT